CGTGTGACGTGGGGGGTGGGGGGGTCCAAAATCGCGTGACGTCATTGATGGACGGCCTCTAACCCATAAATCTATTTTCCTTTGAATGTGCATTTATGTTTAAAATAAACTAAACATTTTATTTTTGTTATTTTACCAGGGCCCCCACTGAGCTATGTTTTTCAGAAGCGACATGGCCACCACAGACGAAGTGAATTTCTCACCACGTGGACCTTGCTAGCAGCAGCCAAATACTCCGAACACGTGACCTGCACATCCGAGTGGCTCTCGAGGATAAATCATTAATTAATAACTATTATCATTATTATCGACTGGCAATCGTGGACAAGAGATGAGATGTTGGCAGTGGAAATGTCCAGCTCCGGTAGGATGCTGCTTGGCAGCTGGACCCAGAGAGCGACCAACGTAGCAGCAAGACGACCTGATGATGATGATGTTGTTGATGATGATGTTGTTGATGATGATGTTGATGATGATGATGTTGTTGATGATGATGTTGATGGTGATGATGATGGCAGGCAGGCCAGTAGTGGTGAGAAGGAAACTGGGCACTATTTGGACACCATATGTAGTAGGATTGACAACAACAACAGGACATATTCTTAGTTTTTTCGGTAAAGTCACGTTGAAGAGAAACAACAAAATAACAAAATATATATAAAACAATAAAAAATTCTCACGACGTTTCGACCATAACTCAAACGGTCATCATCAGGTGTGTCGGTTTGCATAAATTTATTTTGAAAACGGCATATTTATTTATATATATAAAAATAACGTTTGCGTCACGCGCAACGATGGCAGTTTGCCAGGACTAGTCCATCTATTTTTTGAAAAGAGGAGGGGGGAGACGAAATTTGTTTTTATGTATGCTGTCTGAAAGGCACTGTAAGCGTGAACAATCAATCAAGAACTGAAATGATTTATCAAATCTTTCCAATGATTGCTAAGATAGAATCCATCTTCTCGGTTGAAATTGTCTCTGTGTTTGTATATGTGGATAGCCTCATGAACGAATCTCTCATGGAAGCCAGATGGCTTACAAAGAACCTCCGTCTTGGAAAAGTCAATGGCATGTGAGCCTACTGAATTAGAACAATGATCTGCTACGGCCGAGGTGTTGGTCCTACCGTGTTTAAGGTCTGCTTTATGTTCACGAATGCGGTCCGAGATATGGCGTTTGGTTTCTCCAATGTAACTACTACCACAGAGGCAACTTAGTTTGTAGACACCAGGGTATTGTATGTCCGGAATCACATCTTTTACAGACGGAACCAGATCACGGATTTTATGTAATGTGTTGAAACGGACCTGGATCTTGTGTTTATTCAAGATTTTGGAGATCTTTTTTGTGATCCCAGCAATGTAGGGTAAAGTGATGGTTTTGAAAGGCTCCTCAAGAGGGTTCTTCTTCATGGTTTGAGTGATAGCTTTGCGGATTGTATAGTCGGAGTAACCATTAGCCCTAAGAGCTTGGTGTACGTGCTTGAGTTCACTGCTTATGTGTTCCTGGTCGGATATGCATTGGGCTCTATGATACAGAGTCTTGATGAGAGAATTCTTCTGTGATGGATGGTGGTGGGAATCCGGTTTCAGATAAGCATCTGTATGGGTAGCTTTCCTGTAGACAGAGTGGCTCATTGAACCATCAGGTCTCTTTTTAATTAGGACATCCAAAAAAGGTATCTTGCCATCTATTTCGACTTCCATGGTAAATCTGATGGCTGGGTGTATGGAATTGATGTGGTCGAAGAATTTGTCTAGAGCAGGCCGGCCATGTGGCCAGATGACAAAAGTGTCATCCACGTACCTCTTCCATAAGGTTGGGCGCAGAGTGGCAGTCTGGATGGCGTCAGTCTCAAATTTCTCCATGAAAATGTTAGCTATAACTGGAGAAAGGGGGGAGCCCATTGGGGTGCCCTCAGTTTGTTTGTAGAAAGTTCCATTCCAAGTGAAGTATGTATTGGTTAAACAGTGTCTCACCAGGGGGGGTACCTCAGTGTTTAGTCCTTGATGAACCAAGTCTTCAATGATTGCAATGGTGTCAGGTACAGGAACCTTGGTGAATAAGGAAACTACATCAAAACTGACAAGCAGGTCGTCTGGGGACAGGGAAATACCCTTGATTGTTGATACCAGGTGAGTAGAATTTTGTACCGCAGAGGTGGTCTTTCCAGTGAAAGGACGCAGGATTTCAGACAAAAAACGAGCTAGTTTGTAGGTGGGGGAGCTGATAGTAGAGACTATGGGACGAAGAGGTGTATCAACTTTATGTATTTTTGGTAAGCCGTATAATCTTGGTGGCCTGGCAGCAGAAGGTTTCAACGAAAACTGTTTAGATTGATCAATTAATGCGGTTGAATCAGAAATTATTTTGTTGGTTTGTGTGACGAGGCTGTTGGTGGGATCTCTTTTTATTTTTGTATAACTACCATCGTCGAGTAATTCTTTAATTTTGTTGTTGTATTCTATTTTATCCATGATAACAGTAGCATTGCCTTTGTCAGCTGAGAGAACTACAATATCATTCCTCTTTTTTAATTTATATAATTCAAAACGCTCATCTTTGCTGAGGTTGCTAGCTGGCATCTTAGCGTTTTTGAGGGTTGCAGCGATTTCAGATCTTGCTACGTCTGCAGCGATGTGACCCAGGCCCCTGAGAGCAACGTCTACTTGGGCAATTATATCATTAACTGGTATGTGTTTAGGTGTGACTGCAAAGTTTAGACCTTTAGCTAAAACGGATTTCAGACCATCGGAAATAGAACTGTTACTGCGATTAATTACGACTTTATTAACGTCTAACTTTTTGGTGTGTGGGTCCGGTCTTTTGTTTAAGAGGAGGTTAAATTTGGAAATCAGGTTTTCCTTACATTTGGTCGACATAGTAGCAGCTGAAGAGGCAGTCATATTGTCTACATGTTCCCAATCCGATGTGGACATTATTGCCGTCAATGATAAGTGTGATTTGTAGAGTGTCTTGTCTAACTGATCTAGTTCTGTGCGTATAAGTCTGATTTTTTCTGAGATAAGAGCTAAGCTAGTTTTGAAAAGAATTCGTTTCGCATTAGAAGAAGTTACAGTAGCAGAGGTGAGTGTAAATGCGATTGGTATTACCCAGAGTCGCGGCATCTCTTCAGGAAGGTGAGAGACTCGATCAGCTGAGCTTTCTTATCCCGGAGTTTGTTGAAAGATCTTAAAGTTATGTGAAAACCCCCCCGTAGAGGCGATTAAATTTTGATTTAAAGCTTTCGTGACTGCAGTAATTCATATTCTTAGTTTTTTCGGTAAAGTCACGTTGAAGAGAAACAACAAAATAACAAAATATATATAAAACAATAAAAAATTCTCACGACGTTTCGACCATAACTCAAACGGTCATCATCAGGTGTGTCGGTTTGCATAAATTTATTTTGAAAACGGCATATTTATTTATATATATAAAAATAACGTTTGCGTCACGCGCAACGATGGCAGTTTGCCAGGACTAGTCCATCTATTTTTTGAAAAGAGGAGGCAGGGTTAGCAGTCAGTGGCAGGGCTATGCATATCTGTACGTTGAACTTCTATGAAGCACCGTACGTAGCCAATCGTGCTAATGGGAGGTGCAGTGTTGAGTCTATGGGCAGTGTTGAGTCTGAGTCTATGGGCAGTGTTGAGTCTGAGTCTATGGGCAGTGTTGAGTCTATGGGCAGTGTTGAGTCTATGGGCAGTGTTGAGTCTATGGGCAGTGTTGAGCCTATGGGCAGTGTTGAGCCTATGGGCAGTGTTGAGCCTATGGGCAGTGTTGAGCCTATGGGCAGTGTTGAGCCTATGGGCAGTGTTGAGCCTATGGGCAGTGTTGAGCCTATGGGCAGTGTTGAGCCTGTGGGCAGTGTTGAGCCTGTGGGCAGTGTTGAGTCTATGGGCAGTGTTGAGCCTATGGGCAGTGTGTGTATGTTGAACTTCTTTCATAGCCAATTATTCTATTCGTAGTACAAGTCTGTGGTAGAATGAGTATGGGTAGCGTTAGCCTATGGACAATAAGGGCTCCCTCTGCTTACGACCATTTGACTTACAAACTTTCAGAGATACGAACAAACCTATCCATGTCCAGTTGCCTGTTCGGACAGATCGCAAGTTCAACCACCACGCAATAGATGGCGGTTGGTGGCATCTACACCTGCAGAACGTGAAGAACCAGTGGTATCTACATCTGCAGAAAGTGAAGAACCACTGGTATCTACACCTGCAGATTCTTGAAGAACCAGTGGCATCTACACCTGCAGAACGTGAAGAACCAGTGGCATCTACATCCGCAGAACGTGAAGAACCAGTGGCATCTACATCTGCAGAACGTGAAGAACCAGTGGCATCTACATCTGCAGAACGTGAAGAACCAGTGGCATCTACATCTGCAGAACGTGAAGAACCAGTGGCATCTACATCTGCAGAGCGTGAAGAACCAGTGGCATCTACATCTGCAGAACGTGAAGAACCAGTGGCATCTACATCTGTAGAACGTGAAGAACCAAATGGTATCTACATCTGCAGAACGTGAAGAACCAGTGGCATCTACATCTGCAGACCGTGAAGAACCAGTGGTATCTACATCTGCAGAACGTGAAGAACCAGTGGCATCTACATCTGCAGAGCGTGAAGAACCAGTGGCATCTACATCTGCAGAACGTGAAGAACCAGTGGCATCTACATCTGCAGAACGTGAAGAACCAGTGGCATCTACATCTGCAGAACGTGAAGAACCAGTGGCATCTACATCTGCAGAACGTGAAGAATCAGTGGCATCTACAGGAGAACATTCAACTTGTAAAGCCAATCCCCGTGTTTAGTGCGTATGCCATACAACACGTTTGGAATCAACAGGAGTAAAGTTGGACTTGCGAACAACTCGACTGACGAACACACCTCTGGAGCACAACTCGCTCGTAAGTAGAGGAGTCCGTATGGACACGTGTTGCACGCCGTTCACACCGTACGTAGCCAATCGGAGGTACGGGGGGTCGGAGGGGGGGTGTCAGAGACATTGACCCAGCTCTGCCTCGGGACTCACCCCGCGTAGAGAGGTCAGAAGTTTGACGCTCACGTAGCCCGGGCCGTTGCGGCGCACGTGCTTGAGCATGAAGGGGTCCCGTGATAGGGCCTCGTCCGACAGCATTCGCTCCACCTACACACAGAGGGGGGTGGGTGACGCGTACACACCACGCACGGAGGGGGGTGGGTGACGTGTACACACCACGCACAGAGGGGGGTGGGTGACGCGTACACACCACGCACAGAGGGGGGTGGGTGGGAGTGGATGACCTGTATACACTATTTTTATATTATATCATGTATTAACAGTAAATATTAAAACACAAAAACGCACAACATTTTATATATTATATTGTTTTCCCCCACAACTCAATGCCCACTGCTGCCGTTGTTGGTGGTGGTGGTCGTTAGCCCTGCCACCCCCGTGCCTCCATCATTCCCTAAACCCTCCAGCTGTTCTCGAGCCCAAGGACGATGCGAAGCGACGAGGTGAAGCGACGAGGCGAGTGGTCACCTCCTCAACGATGCTCGCCCCCACCTCGGGCTCTGGAGGGTCCAAGTCGGCAAACCACGAGAGGTTCAGCACCGGCCCCTCCCCTCCCACCCCCTCCTCCACCACCACCCCCTCCTCCTCCTCCTCCTCCACCACCACCCGCTCCTCCTCCTCCTCTCCCCGAGCCACCCCAATCATCTCCAGGCTCTGCGGCATCGCTTCCATCCCACGCACCATCTCCTCCTCCAGCTTCTGTAGCACCTCGTCGTCAGCAGCATCATCATCATCCTCCACCACCACCAGCACCTCCTCTTCCGATCCTCGTGGCATGGCCACGACATCCTCTGGACCCTGTGGGACTCCCTCCTCCTCCTCAGCAGTGCCCAGCTCGCTAGAGGCATCAGCGGTCTCCTGCTGCCGCTGCTGCTGCCGCCGCTGCTGCCGCTGCTGCTGCCCGTGCGAGAGCTCCACGTGGTCTCGGGGTCCCGCGGCAGACGGGACACAGCGATGCCTTAGACGGACCCTTGTCTTTCTGCACGACAACAAATGACAGGGACCAAGGGATGGCACCCCCCGGCCCGGGCATCGCCCCCTACCATGTCCAACTCCCCGCGCAGCGTACGAAGCCCTCCGTACTCATCGGAGGTGCGATGTTGAGTCTACGGGCAGAGTTGAGGATACAACTTCTACGTGCGGCAAACTTAACCACCAAAAAGCAGTTCCAAAGTAATGCGTTTTCAATCTCGACGACGATTTAAAAGTGCATAGGTCCCAGTGGCTTTCTAATATCGGAAGAGCGTTCCAGACGGCCACAGACTGTTGGTGCTGTTAGCGAGTAGCACCTATGGAGACAGCCACAGCACGCGAGGGGGTTATTGGCCACAGCACGCGAAGGGGTTATTGGCCAGTGCCACGCCCGGCCGTCTTTGTCTCCCCAGTGGGGGGGGGGGGGCGAGTGACGCGAGTGCGAGATAGAGGCGTCCCACCTCTTCTTCGCTTCGTCGTCCTCTGCTCCGCGAAGGAAGAAGACGACGAGGAGGAGGCCACCCAGCCGCCTCGCCCCGCGCTGCACCACCGCGCACGCCCAGCCCAGCAGGCGGGAGACCCCCACGGCCACCATCATCAGCAGGCCCGGCAGCGAGACCGCGTGTCCACCACCAACAACAACACCACCAACACCACCACCAACACCACCACCACCACCATCTGCCTCCACCGCCACGCGGGCGCGCCGGGAGCTGTGCGCCCGCGTAGCCGAGCGGCGATACTCGCGACCCATGGCTCAGGACGAGGTGGAGACAGGAGGTGGGGGAGAGGAGGAGAGAGAGGAGGTGGGTGGGAGGAGGATGCGGGGTGGCGGATTGGTGGAGACGCGAGGCGGAGGAGGAGATGGAGCCAAAAGCAACGATGAGGAAGAGGAGGAGGAGAAGGGGGTAGAGGAGGCGGACGCGAGGAGGTTGAGACGCGAGACGAGGAAGAAGGCGCACGAGCCGACAGAGATCGGTTAAGGATGCCGCCGCCGACAAGAAGAAGAAGAATAAGAGGAGGAGGAGGAGGAAGAGGATTGTAGAGCGCACAAGGGGCAGGAGGGGGACCGCACCCCAGGGGGTCACGAGAGCAGTGGGGGAGGAGGAGAAAGAGGCGGAGATGGAGCGATGTGACGGGGGGGGGGGGGGTCGAGGCGAATCGGCGCTCGAGTGCGCCCGCCCCCCTCTCGCCACCTTTACCATCTCCCCAATTAAACAATCAGCTCGTCAACGCGCCACGCGCCAATGAAGCCCAATTAGCGAGGAGGGCGACGGCGATGGAGATGGTCCCAGCTGCTCCACGGCGTTCCTCGACAAAACGACAACCCCCCCCTCTCCCTCTCCCTCCCTCTCCCCCCCTCCCTCTCCCCCCCTCTCCCTCCCCCCCTCTCCCTCCCCCCCCTCTCCCTCCCCCCCTCTCACTCCCCCCTCTCCCTCCCTCCCCCCCCTCTCCCTCCCTCCCCCCCTCTCCCTCCCCCCCTCTCCCTCCCCCATCACCCTCCCCCATCTCCCTCCCCCCCTCTCCCTCCCCCCCTCTCCCTCCCCCCATCTCCCTCCCCCCTCTCCCTCCCTCCCCCCCTCTCCCCCCCTCTCCCCCCTCCTCTCCCTCCCCCCCCTCCTCTCTCTCCCCCCTCCTCTCCCTCCCCCCTCCTCTCCCTCCCTCCCCCTCTCCCTCCCTCCCCCTCTCCCTCCCTCCCCCTCTCCCTCCCTCCCCCCTCCTCTTCCTCCCCCCTCCTCTCCCCCTCCCTCTCCCCCTCCCTCTCTCCCGCCTCCCCCCTCCCTCTCCCCCTCCCCTCCTTCCTCCCCCTCCACCCATCCCCTCCCCCCTCCCTCCTCCCCCTCCCCCCTCCCTCCTCCCCTTTCCCCCTCCCTCCTCCCCCTCCCCCCCTCCCTCCTCCCCCTCCCCCCTCCCCTCCCCATCCCCTCCCTCCCAAACTATGGCCCACAGAGTAAACTCACAGAGATACATCGATATCTGTAGGCTCATAGAGACCCGTATAGACCTCAAAGTACAAACCCACTGTGGTCAGCGCGCCTTCAAACGGAGGAGGAGGAGGAAGAGCGACACGACGAGAACTCTCTCCTCTCTCTGCTGAGAACTCTCTCCTCTCTCTCTCTCTGTGCTGAGAACTCTCTCCTCTCTCTGCTGAGAACTCTCTCCTCTCTCTCTCTGTGCTGAGAACTCTCTTCTCTCTCTCTGTGCTGAGAACTCTCTCCTCTCTCTGCTGAGAACTCTCTCCTCTCTCTCTCTCTGTGCTGAGAACTCTCTCTCTCTCTCTGCTGAGAACTCTCTCCTCTCTCTGCTGAGAACTCTCTCTCTGCTGAGAACTCTCTCCTCTCTCTGCTGAGAACTCTCTCCTCTCTCTGCTGAGAACTCTCTCTCTCTCTGCTGAGAACTCTCTCCTCTCTCTGCTGAGAACTCTCTCCTCTCTCTGCTGAGAACTCTCTCTCTCTCTGCTGAGAACTCTCTCTGCTGAGAACTCTCTCTCTGCTGAGAACTCTCCCTCTCTCTCTCTGCTGAGAACTCTCTCTGCTGAGAACTCTCTCCTCTCTCTCTGCTGAGAACTCTCTCCTCTCTCTCTGCTGAGAACTCTCTCCTCTCTCTCTGCTGAGAACTCTCTCTCTCTCTGTGCTGAGAACTCTCTCTCTCTGCTGAGAACTCTCTCCTCTCTCTCTCTGCTGAAACTCTCTCCTCTCTCTCTGTGCTGAGAACTCTCTCTCTCTCTGCTGAGAACTCTCTCTGTGCTGATAACTCTCTCCTCTCCCTCTCTGCTGAGAACTCTCTCTCTCTGCTGAGAACTCTCTCCTCCCTCTCTCTGCTGAGAACTCTCTCTGCTGAGAACTCTCTCCTCTCTCTCTCTCTGCTGAGAACTCTCTCTCTCTGCTGAGAACTCTCTCTGTGCTGAGAACTCTCTCTCTCTCTGTGCTGAGAACTCTCTTCTCTCTCTCTGTGCTGAGAACTCTCTCCTCTCTCTGCTGAGAACTCTCTCCTCTCTCTCTCTCTCTGTGCTGAGAACTCTCTCTCTCTCTGCTGAGAACTCTCTCCTCTCTCTGCTGAGAACTCTCTCTCTGCTGAGAACTCTCTCCTCTCTCTGCTGAGAACTCTCTCCTCTCTCTGCTGAGAACTCTCTCCTCTCTCTGCTGAGAACTCTCTCTCTCTCTCTGCTGAGAACTCTCTCCTCTCTCTGCTGAGAACTCTCTCCTCTCTCTGCTGAGAACTATCTCTCTCTGCTGAGAACTCTCTCTGCTGAGAACTCTCTCTCTGCTGAGAACTCTCCCTCTCTCTCTCTGCTGAGAACTCTCTCTGCTGAGAACTCTCTCCTCTCTCTCTGCTGAGAACTCTCTCCTCTCTCTCTGCTGAGAACTCTCTCCTCTCTCTCTGCTGAGAACTCTCTCTCTCTCTCTGTGCTGAGAACTCTCTCTCTCTCTCTCTGCTGAGAACTCTCTCCTCTCTCTCTCTCTGCTGAAACTCTCTCCTCTCTCTCTGTGCTGAGAACTCTCTCTCTCTCTGCTGAGAACTCTCTCTGTGCTGATAACTCTCTCCTCTCTCTCTCTGCTGAGAACTCTCTCTCTCTGCTGATAACTCTCTCCTCCCTCTCTCTGCTGAGAACTCTCTCTGCTTGAGAACTCTCTCCCCTCTCTCTCTCTCTGCTGAGAACTCTCTCTCTCTGCTGAGAACTCTCTCTGTGCTGAGAACTCTCTCCTCTCTCTCTGTGCTGAGAACTCTCTCTCTCTCTGCTGAGAACTCTCTCTCTCTGCTGAGAACTCTCTCCTCTCTCTCTCTGCTGAGAACTCTCTCTCTCTCTCTGCTGAGAACTCTCTCTTTCTCTGCTGAGAACTCTCTCCTCTCTCTGCTGAGAACTCTCTCTCTCTCTCTCTGCTGAGAACTCTCTCCTCTCTCCCTCTGCTGAGAACTCTCTCTCTCTCTCTGCTGAGAACTCTCTCCTCTCTCCTCTGCTGAGAACTCTCCTCTCTCTCTGCTGAGAACTCTCTCTCTCTCTCTGCTGAGAACTCTCTCTCTCTCTCTGCTGAGAACTTTCTCTCTCTGCTGAGAACTCTCTCCTCTCTCTCTCTGCTGAGAACTCTCTCCTCTCTCCCTCTGCTGAGAACTCTCTCTCTCTCTGCTGAGAACTCTCTCTCTCTGCTTGAGAACTCTCTCCTCTCTCTGCTGAGAACTCTCTCTCTCTCTGCTGAGAACTCTCTCCTCTCTCCCTCTGCTGAGAACTCTCTCTCTCTGCTGAGAACTCTCTCCTCTCTCTCTCTCTGCTGAGAACTCTCTCTCTCTCTGCTGAGAACTCTCTCCTCTCTCCCTCTGCTGAGAACTCTCTCTCTCTCTCTCTGCTGAGAACTCTCTCTCTCTGCTGAGAACTCTCTCCTCTCTCTCTCTGCTGAGAACTCTCTCTCTCTCTGCTGAGAACTCTCTCCTCTCTCCCTCTGCTGAGAACTCTCTCTCTCTCTGCTGAGAACTCTCTCCTCTCTCTCTCTGCTGAGAACTCTCTCCTCTCTCTCTGCTGAGAACTCTCTCCTCTCTCTCTGCTGAGAACTCTCTCCTCTCTCTCTCTGCTGAGAACTCTCTCTCTCTGCTGAGAACTCTCTCTGTGCTGAGAACTCTCTCCTCTCTCTCTGTGCTGAGAACTCTCTCTCTCTCTGCTGAGAACTCTCTCCTCTCTCTCTCTGCTGAGAACTCTCTCCTCTCTCTCTCTGCTGAGAACTCTCTCTCTCTCTGCTGAGAACTCTCTCTCTCTCTCTGCTGAGAACTCTCTCCTCTCTCTGCTGAGAACTCTCTCTCTCTCTGCTGAGAACTCTCTCCTCTCTCCCTCTGCTGAGAACTCTCTCTCTCTCTCTGCTGAGAACTCTCTCCTCTCTCTCTCTGCTGAGAACTCTCTCTCTCTCTGCTGAGAACTCTCTCCTCTCTCCCTCTGCTGAGAACTCTCTCTCTCTCTCTGCTGAGAACTCTCTCTCTCTCTCTCTGCTGAGAACTCTCTCTCTCTCTGCTGAGAACTTTCTCTCTCTGCTGAGAACTCTCTCCTCTCTCTCTCTGCTGAGAACTCTCTCCTCTCTCCCTCTGCTGAGAACTCTCTCTCTCTCTGCTGAGAACTCTCTCTCTCTCTCTCTCTGCCGAGAACTCTCTCCTCTCTCTGCTGAGAACTCTCTCTCTCTGCTGAGAACTCTCTCCTCTCTCCCTCTGCTGAGAACTCTCTCTCTCTCTGCTGAGAACTCTCTCCTCTCTCTCTCTCTGCTGAGAACTCTCTCTCTCTCTCTGCTGAGAACTCTCTCCTCTCTCCCTCTGCTGAGAACTCTCTCTCTCTCTCTGCTGAGAACTCTCTCTCTTTGCTGAGAACTCTCTCCTCTCTCTCTCTGCTGAGAACTCTCTCTCTCTCTGCTGAGAACTCTCTCCTCTCTCCCTCTGCTGAGAACTCTCTCTCTCTCTGCTGAGAACTCTCTCCTCTCTCTCTGCTGAGAACTCTCTCCTCTCTCTCTGCTGAGAACTCTCTCCTCTCTCTCTGCTGAGAACTCTCTCCTCTCTCTCTGCTGAGAACTCTCTCTCTCTCTCTGCTGAGAACTCTCTCTCTCTCTGCTGAGAACTCTCTCCTCTCTCTGCTGAGAACTCTCTCTCTCTCTGCCTGAGAACTCTCTCCTCTCTCCCTCTGCTGAGAACTCTCTCTCTCTCTCTCTGCTGAGAACTCTCTCCTCTCTCTCTCTGCTGAGAACTCTCTCTCCTCTCTGCTGAGAACTCTCTCCTCTCTCCCTCTGCTGAGAAACTCTCTCTCTCTCTGCTGAGAACTCTCTCTCTCTCTCTGCTGATGAACTCTCTCTCTCTCTGCTGAGAACTCTCCTCCTCTCTCTGCTGAGAAACTCTCTCTTCTCTCCCTCTGCTGAGAACTCTCTCTCTCTCTCTGCTGAGAACTCTCTCCTCTCTCTCTCTGCTGAGAACTCTCTCTCTCTCTGCTGAGAACTCTCTCCTCTCTCCCTTGCTGAGAACTCTCTCTCTCTCTCTGCTGAGAACTCTCTCTCTACTCTCTGCTGAGAACTCTCTCCTCTCTCTGCTGAGAACTCTCTCCTCTCTCCCTCTGCTGAGAACTCTCTCTCTCTCTCTGCTGAGAACTCTCTCCTCTCTCTCTCTCTCTGCTGAGAACTCTCTCTCTCTCTGCTGAGAACTCTCTCCTCTCTCCCTCTGCTGAGAACTCTCTCTCTCTCTGCTGAGAACTCTCTCTCTCTCTCTCTGCTGAGAACTCTCTCCTCTCTCCCTCTGCTGAGAACTCTCTCTCTCTCTGCTGAGAACTCTCTCCTCTCTCCCTCTGCTGAGAACTCTCTCTCTCTGCTGAGAACTCTCTCCTCTTTCTCTCTCTGCTGAGAACTCTCTCCTCTCTCTCTGCTGAGAACTCTCACTCTCTCTCTGCTGAGAACTCTCTCCTCTCTCCCTCTGCTGAGAACTCTCTCCTCTCTCTCTCTCTGCTGAGAACTCTCTCTCTCTGCTGAGAACTCTCTCTCTCTCTCTGCTGAGAACTCTCTCTCTCTCTCTCTGCTGAGAACTCTCTCCTCTCTCTCTCTCTCTGCTGAGAACTCTCTCTCTCTGCTGAGAACTCTCTCTCTGCTGAGAACTCTCTCTCTCTGCTGAGAACTCTCTCTCTCTGCTGAGAACTCTCTCTCTCTCTGCTGAGAACTCTCTCTCTGCTGAGAACTCTCTCCTCTCTCTCTCTCTCTGCTGAGAACTCTCTCTCTCTGCTGAGAACTCTCTCTCTCTCTGCTGAGAACTCTCTCTCTCTGCTGAGAACTCTCTCTCTCTCTGCTGAGAACTCTCTCTCTGCTGAGAACTCTCTCCTCTCTCTCTCTCTCTGCTGAGAACTCTCTCTCTCTGCTGAGAACTCTCTCTCTCTCTGCTGAGAACTCTCTCTCTCTCTCTCTGCTGAGAACTCTCTCCTCTCTCTCTGCTGATAACTCTCTCTCTCTGCTGAGAACTCTCTCTCTCTCTGCTGAGAACTCTCTCTCTCTGCTGAGAACTCTCTCCTCTCTCTCTCTCTCTGCTGAGAACTCTCTCTCTCTGCTGAGAACTCTCTCTCTCTCTGCTGAGAACTCTCTCTCTCTCTCTGCTGAGAACTCTCTCCTCTCTCTCTGCTGAGAACTCTCTCTCTCTCTCTGCTGATAACTCTCTCCTCTCTCTCTCTGCTGAGAACTCTCTCTCTCTGCTGATAACTCTCTCCTCTCCTCTCTCTCTCTGCTGAGAACTCTCTCTCTCTGCTGATAACTCTCTCCTCTCCTCTCTCTCTCTGCTGAGAACTCTCTCTCTCTGCTGATAACTCTCTCCTCTCTCTCTGCTGACGCCCGCTCGTCGTAGCCAGCAGCAGCAGCAAGACGACATCCACACTGGGGCATCGAGCTGCTTGATCATCATCATCATCGCTGCTGATCATCATCATCGCTGCTGATCATCATCATCATCATCACGCTCAAGCACGGACTGCCCGAACGCTCGCGTCCCCAGCGCGAGAGACGATGGGCGAATTAGTGTGATTAGCTAATTAGTGTGATTAGCTAATTAGTGCGATTAGCTAATTAGTGTGATTAGCTAATTAGTGTAATGAGCCACACCTGGACGTCACGTGGCGGTGGTGCTCTGAGCGCCGATCTTCACTGATTGGCTGATTGGCAGAGCGGTGAGGGACATGCAAAGGCCCGCAACGTCGAAACGTCGAGCGGCGGATGGGGCACTCGTCAAGGGCGGCACGCGTGAGAATTCGAGGCGTGACGCGCTTCCCCAGTGGAGCCACGTGATGTGTAGGTTGCTATTGACGGCGCCGGGCGTGTCACGTGACCCGGAGAATGATGCAGCCGGAACCACGGGCCCTGGCAACCGGACTCCGGGCCCTGGCAACCGGACTCCGGGCCCTGGCAACCGGACCACGCGCCCTGGCAACCGGAACCATGGGCCCTGGCAACCGGACCACAGGCTATCAACAGCAGCTTGGATCAACCTAGGAGCATGGCATCAAATTCATGTTCAGATGGGCGCTGCGGTGGCTATGAGATGTTAACCACCTCACCTGGTATACAGGAAGTCGTGGGTTCGATCCCAACCCTAACGCCTGCTGCTGCTGTATGTTTGGAGTTAGCGTGTCTCTCTCTCTCTCCGTGGTGAGATGTTAACCACCTCACTTGGTTTACAGTAAGTCGTGGGTTCGATCCCGACCCTGACGCCTGCTGCTGTATATTTGGAGTTCGCGGTGTCTCTCTCCCCGTGGTCGCGTGGATTTTTTCCCCGGGTCCTCGACGTTACGCGTTTAGAGTATTTGGCTGCCGCAAAAGATTTCCACGCGTTGATAAGAAGCTGCTGCGTTGGGCTATCATTTGTGGCCCCGTCCCTCCTGAAGAAGAGCTACGTTAGCTCAGCGCGCCCTACGTGGTAAAATAAAATAGTTTAGCCGAGTTGAAATGCAGCCCTGGGCAGATTGTTTGATTTATCCTCTCCGCAAGCATTTCTGGGAGCTCGCCACCTCACCCGGCTGCGATCTTAATATCGGGCGGTGGAGGTGGAGGTGGTGGCGGTGGCGATGGTGGTGGAAAGGTGGTGGCGGTGGTGGAGGAGGTGGTGGCGGTGGTGGCGGTGGCGGTGACTATGCACGTGGCTGTCTGCGATCCAGCGCTGTGGGGGCAGCAGCAGCAGCGAGGGTTTGCTGGATCACCGCACACACAGATGAGGTTGTTGTTGTTGTTGTTGTACGAATCTCCCTCCCTTCCACCCGTGGGCGGGTGTCTAGGAGCCGGAGACCTGGCTCTGCCAGGGGAAGGCAAGCACAGAAAAGCGTGGACTCCACCTGTTCCGTCTATACGGGATAGAGCGTTTCCCCCTCGCACACACCCGTGGGGTTTTTTTCCCGCACATATAAAGTGATTAATTGACCGTCAATCTTCATATACAAGGATGGCAGAGCTTGGGCAATTGGTTAATATCCTGTCCCTCGTTTCCACCTCACGACCCCTCCTTCTTGAACCTTCCCTCAACCGTCAGCAACAGACTCTCGCCTGAACACCGTTCGGATTCCCACCAGCCAATCCAACGCTCATTGATTAACAGTGGCCGTTCCGATGGACCAATCGGGGATCGTCCCAGGACCCAGGAAAGTGACCAGCCAATTGCCAATTCTGCCTGACCAATCAGGGATCGTCCCAAGAACGGCGATCAGCCATTGGCTAATTCCAACTGACCAATCAGGGATCGTCCCAGAACAGTGGTCAGCCAGTGGCCAATTTCGCTTGACCAATCAGGGCTCGTACCAGAAGAGCGATTATCGAATTAAGTGATTTGCTCATATAAAATGGAATTGGGCCTCATCTCCCGTCGAACAAAGTGATGACGATCATCTACTGCGACGCTGTGTCTCGTCCACCAGAGGAAGACTTCATGGCAAATCCGTAGCACAGTGTAAACATTTGAATAAAAACGACGCAGATTTAAGACGAGTTACTTTTGACAACCAGCCAGAACGTGCGCACGTACACACACACAAATACACGTCTTCGAAGGAGACGGTTAAAAAAACACGCGAATCAAACTTTAATTCAACCACGAGAATACTTGGCGGTAACATCTCGCTAAAAGGAATCGTTTAAAATATCAAACTCCATCGAACCTTAACCGACCCCACCACCCCTATAACCTATAAAAAAAAAAGTGCCGTCACGGCCCAGACCCCTCGCGAACGTCCGGGAAGGGGGTTGGGGAACCGAATTCCACATTCGGCGGCGTCTCGTCAGCAGGAGTCCGGCTCGCTTGTTTGTGAGGCGACGGCCTCAGGTGGAGCGTCACCGCCCCCAGGGCCCCCATGGGCGACGGCCCACGGGGGCCCTCCCGACTCGGCAGTGCGAGGGCCCCCCTCCTGCCGCTCCTCCCCCTCCTGCGAGGGGCACAGAAGCTCGTGGATGGGGCCCAGCAGGGGGCCCAGCAGGGGGGCGGCTCCCCCACCGGCCCAGCGCGGCGGTGGCAGGGACGACGACGGAGGGACCGCAACGGGGCCCAGCGGGTGCCCAGTCCCTCCCTGCAGCAGGCCCGCCAGCCGCGCGTTCTCACGCCGCAGTTGCCCGATCACCTGCAGGCCGTTGCATGCGTCAGCGACTGGCGAGGTTCACGGGCCCACCAGTCGCGGGCCCACCAGTCGCGGGCCCACCAGTCGCGGGCCCACCAGTCGCGGGCCCACCAATCACAGCCCACTGCTCGCAGCCCACCAATCACAGCCCACTGCTCGCAGCCGACCAATCACAACCCACTGCTCGCAACCCACCAATCGCAGCCCACTGCTCGATGCCGACCAGTCACGGACCACTGCTCGCAGCCCACCAATCACAGCCCACTGCTCGGAGCCGACCAATCACAGCCCACTGCTCGCAACCCACCAATCACAGCTCACTGCTCGGAGCCGACCAATCACAGCCCACTGCTCGCAACCCACCAATCACAACCCACTGCTCGGAGCCGACCAATCACAACCCACTTCTCGCAACCCACCAATCGCAGCCCACTGCTTGCGGCCCAAGATCCCAAGATCTTGGTGAGACTAGAGATATCAAGATCCTAAACATCCTGAGATCCTGAGATCTTGAGATCCCAAGCTCCTAGATATCCTGAAATCTTAAAATCCAGAAATCTCCAGATATCCAGAGATCCCAAGGATCCGGTCTCACGGAGGCAGGTCCTCTCTTATGCAGCCCCGAGTGCGGCAAGTCTCTGTGTGCGTGTGTGTGCAGCAAGGATCTCCTCACCTTCCGGGCCTCCTCCAGGCTCTCTGGCTCCACGCCGCTGTACTGCTCCTCTCTCCCTGTCCACAGCAGCGCAATATCATAACGACGATAATGAAGACAAGAACACTTTCAACGCGCCGCAAGATATTCGCTCGACCCTGCCCTTGAGGAGAGATGCCAGGAGGAGAAACCACGGACGAGGGGAAAGGCAGTAGCCAGGCGGTGAGCTGGAGCCAATACTAATTTTCCAAGCTCTGCTGTCCTATATATATTTGTTAAGAAACATATATTTGATACGTATATTAATATGTCTGGCCGAGTCCGTTATTAAGCATTTACATGTGGGAGGAAACCGGAGTGCCCGGAGAAAAGTAATGCTTGTGTGCAAGGGGGCAACGTTCTATCCTCGTACAGACGGAACAGGCGGAGTCCACATTTTTTCCGAGTACCGCTCCTCTCCTGGCAGAGCCAGGGGTATGGCTCCTCCTTGACACCCAACCACGGGATAGAGGGGGAGTTTCACAACTCCTTCTGTGCGCGGTGATCCACCAACCCTCCTCGCTGCTGCATCCACAGCGCTGAGTGTTTAAAAAAGAAAAAAGTAAAAATCACCGTCGCAGTAGCCGGGGTCGGGCAGCGCCAGCGCCGTCGCCGCACTCCGGCACGCAAACCGCCGCATGGCGTCCGTGTAGAGCCGCAGACGCTCCTCCCAGCGCTCCTCAGACGCCTGCCGCTCGGCCTCCAGCCGTTGGCTGCGGCGTGGTGTAGGGGGTTGGGGGGGGACACACGCACGGCCACCGCCGGTGAGGATTAAGGCTGGGCGTAGGTATGGCCTAGGCACGGCCTGGGCAGGGCCTGGGAAGGGCCTGGGAAGGGCCTGGGAAGGGCCTGGGAAGGGCCTGGGAAGAGCCTGGGAAGGGCCTGGGAAGGGCCTGGGAAGGGCCTGGGAAGGGCCTGGGCATGACCTCGGCAGGGCCGGGCCTGCCCCTGGGCAGGGCCTAAAGTTGGGCAGGGCCTGAACTTGGGCAGGGTCTGGGCCGGGCCTGGGCAGGACCAACACAGGGCTGACAAAAGGGCCTCCTCTGCCTTTGCCCTCCTCGAGATTGAGTTGGAGATTTCAGAGGGCTGCGAGCGGCACTCCACCGGCACCGGGGTGTCCGCTCCTCGCTCTCGTAGAGAAAGAGAGAGAAGGGGGCGAGACTCAGAGGTGCCAGAAGGAGGAACCACATCCAAAGAGCAAAAAGGCAGCAGCAGCCACACGGTGGTGGGCGACGACCCGGCGCTACCAACATTCGCCCAAGCTCTGCGGTCCTCTACGCACGAAGGTGTCAATCGGCCAACTGGCGGGAGTCGCCCACCTCCACAGCGCCTCCACCTGGCGCAGGTGCGTCATGGCGTCTCGCGCAACCTCCTCTCGCGCCTGCCGCTCGGCGCGATCGCGGGCCGCCCTCTCCGCCACCACGCGCCCGCGGAGGCGCGACACCAGCCCCACCAGGGCCTGTGGGGGTCAGAGCCGAGGGTTAGAGCCGAGCATCATCAGGGCATCGAGGTCACACTCATTACACACAAAGCGCTCGCCACAAATAAACCACAATACGTTGCTGATCTCGTCAAGGAGCATAAACCGTCACGTGAACTCCGGTCATCCTCGCAGCAGCAGCAGCAGCTGTGCTTCAGCAGCAGCTGTGCTTCCGCGGCCATCTGGAACGCTCTTCCTTCCGATATTAGGAAGCCACTGGAGTGATGCACTTTTTAATTTAGATTGAAAGCTAATTTCTTTGGAGCTGCTTTTTATGTTTAGTTTGTTGTCCTTCCCCCCGCACCTCCGATTACCGCGGTTGGCTATGTACGGTGCGAAAGAAGTTTATCCACACATACACGCAACGCGCGGGCAGAATTAGTATCGCACAGACCGCATACAGACCTCAACATCGATCTCATCGTCCGACGACAAGTCAACCTCCTCATCCTCCTCCTCATTGTCGTCACCGCTGTTGCTGGGGAGACCTCCTCGTTCTGCTGCTCCTCCTCCCGCTGAGCCTCCCCGCACCGACCCCCTGACCCTCATGCTGATGGGTTCCTGGCTCGCAACGCTCACCACCTGGAGTGGACGCGGGTCACGGAGTCACGGGTGTCAATGGAGGGGGTCACAGACACGGGTAACTAAACTCAACTCTTTATGAAGTTAAACTCTTTTTATTTTCCCAGGTAAGGCCCACTGAGCTATGTACTTCTGACCTGGCTATGACAAATGATAGCTCAACGAAGTGGCACAGCAGCCAAATGCTCTAAACGCGCGATGTTGATTCTAAATGTGGATGGGAAAACCAGAGGAGCCCGAATAAAAATCCACACGACCACGGGGAGAGAGACACGGAAACTCCAAGTATACGGCAGGCGTCAGAGTCCGGATGGAAGCCACGACCTCCTGCATACCAGGCGAGGGAGTTAACATCTCACCACCTTGGCGTATCAATGGGGGGGGGGGGGGGGGGGTGGGGGTCACGGGCTGTTGTTTGGGTCAGCGCTCGTGGTTTCACACACAGAGTCCGCTGGGGTTAGGCCTCAGGCTTGGCGCAACCGGTTGCAGGGAGCAGTTTGGGGCAACCGGTTGCAGCTCAGAGGCGGACTCAATCGTCGATCCGCTCGACGATTCGAGGTGGTGGTGGGGGGAGGGGGGGGTGGGGTCAGGTCGGGTGGGAGCAGCGCATAGGTCACCTGCTGGGCGAGAGCGGCGAAGGCGAGGGTGTGTGCCGTCTCGTGCAGGGTGGAGGCACAGGGGTTGGCGCACGCCACCATGAGGACGCGAGCGCCGCCCAGCAGCGCCGCCTGGAAGAGGCGCGTCAGGCGGCTCTCCCGGAAGGGGACCGGCGCCCTGGGGCCGCCGCCGCCGCCGCCGCCGCCGCCGCCACCGCCGTCGCCCGCCCTGCCACACGCAGAGGGCCCGGCGCGGCGCTGGGTGAGATCGGCGCTTCCTGGCCGGCGTCGAAGCGATAGAGGGGGCCTAACGGTCAACTACCCCCCCCCCCCCCACCTTGTCCCTCGCAATCCCCACCAAGTAAATTAAAAACAGGGTGCTTTAAAAAAAAAAATTACACTTCTGAGAATTTGCAACAATACCACGAGAAATGTGCTGCTGCCTTCTCCGGCCTCTGGAGACCACCTGGAGAAGATTCCAGGCCACGTGCTGACAATGACGGCGAACAAGTGGAGACTCCTTGAATTTTTGAAGCTATGAACCATACTTTTGTTACCATGTTACGGTGTGTTTATTATCCGTTCTTTTTCCATTAAAAACGATAGTCCCACCTAAGTGTCAACATTTTTTTGAAGTACCCTGTACATTAAAATGTAACGTATTTTTCATTCACGACGACGCCGCCGCCGCCGTCGTCACCGCAGGGGTCGCGAAGAAGGCAGCCGCGGGCCCGGCGCCTCGCCTACCTGGCCTCCTGGTTGGCCCTCAGGGCCTGCAGGCAGCGGCCCAACGTGAGCAGGGAGCCGTTGATGTTGTTGGCCTCCTTGAGCCTCTGGCCCGTGGCCTGCGTCTTGTTGGAGCGCTCCGAGCCGGCGAGGTCGCACAGGGTGAGCCTGGCCACGGGGGCGGAGGAGGGGCCGCACAAGCCGCGGGGACACAGCTAGTACACATGGACACGCAACAATCAGCGGAGGGCCGGGTGACTAAAGTACGGCGCGTTGGCACAGTAGGGGGGGCACAGGTGGTGGTGCATCTGCCAGTCATCTCAGTCAGTCAACCCACGGCACCGGCTGGGCCTGTCCCGGATTTGACACTGCACGTGGCCTTAACGTGCGCATAAGCCTGGTACAAGCGCCGTGGTGATGTCACCGCCACTTAGTGGCAAATGGCGGCTATTGTTGTTGTTGTTGTTGTGTATGCACAAGCCCCGTGTGCATCTGCCCAGTGCGCGTGTGTGTGTGTGTGCGTACTCGCTGCTCGACACCAGGCTGCTCCCTCCCTCGTCCTGGACGCGTAGCAGCCGCACGGTGAAGATGCTGTGGCTGAGAAGCCGGGGGGGGGGAGAGGGGGAGGTAGCAGAGGTTCAAGTCGATGAGAGCGCTCGCTGGCAAACTCGCTCGGTCAACTCTCACCCTCACCACCCAGGCCGCGACGATACGAGTGAGGGGGGGGGGGGGGGAGCCTCACCTGCGGCTCGAGGTTTGGTTGAGCCGCGTCTGAGCCACGCTCTGCTGCCTGCGCCCTCGCGCCAGCAAGCAGAGGGCCTGGCCAGCAGTGCTCACTCCCACCCAGCGCACGTCTACACACGCACACGGTACAGCCACGGCACCGTCAAGGCACCGCCACCCACTCGCAATGCTCGCTCTCCCACCCAGCGCAACGTCTGCACGCACACAGACGCACGGCACCGCACCGCCACCGCACCGCACCGCCACGGCACCGCCACCGCACCGCCACCGCACCGCCATGGCACCGCACCGCCACGGCACCGCACCGCCACGGCACCGCCACGACACAGCACCGCCACGACACCGCCAAGCAGTTACATCTATGGAGCCTTTTCGCCGGTATGAGCCTGGCAAAAAGGCCCACGTAGATATAACCCTTGACCCCCCACCGCGACCCCACCGCGACCCCACCGCCCCGGAGAACCTTTTAGGTAGGGGTGGCCGTTGGAGTCCTCTCCGAGGCGGAGGGTGGTGGCGCGGTTGGGCTGGCTGGCGGTGCCGGCCTCTTCCTGCACCAGCAGATCCCGCATAGACTCGTTGTAAATCTCCACAAACGACACCCACACCGAGAACAGCTGGTTCCCTTCCGGCTGTCCATCCATCTCTCTGTCCGGCTGTCCATCCATCTCTCTGTCCGGCTGTGGCCCCATCTCTCTGTCCGGCTGTCGCCCCATCTCCTCTCCCAGGTGCTGAGAGAGGCTCGTCGACTCCAGTATGGGGAGGATGGGCGACGCGGTGAAGTCGCCTGCAAGGGAGCACAGAGAGGAGAGAGAACCATTACATCGGGCGGCGAGAGGAGGGCGAGGCCAATTTGTGAGTCCCTCCCCCTCCTCCTCGGCCTGCGGCAGCGTCCTTCATCGCAAGGCCAATGCGGGCCCACTGGCGGTGATCTTTAGCACGGCCCCTGACGTGCGCCCCCCCAGACAATACACAGAGTGATAAGACCCCATCATCATCGTGCTGCTGTTAAACCCCCCAATGCTTTCAAATGGTGTGGCGGCCCTCACCCCAATGATGTGCGCCCTCACCCCCATTCCCCCCACCCCTGTGAAAATGAGTGAAGAACCACCGGTCTACGCGGTAGCAGTAGTCACAGATGCACGAGGAGACAGCCGCTTGCCCAGTAGTGCATACAGTGGGGTACATGCAGTACGGCACAGTACACACTTTATGGTACACAGTGCAGTGTGGTACACAGTACAGTGTGCATCAACTGTACACACCGTGCTGTACACACAGTGCTGTACACACCGTGCTGTACACACCGTGCTGTACACACCGTGCTGTACACACAGTGCGGTACACACAGTGCTGTACACACCGTGCTGTACACACCGTGCGGTACACACAGTGCGGTACACACCGTGCTGTACACACCGTGCTGTACACACCGTGCGGTACACACAGTGCTGTACACACCGTGCTGTACACACCGTGCTGTACACACAGTGCTGTACACACCGTGCTGTACACACCGTGCTGTACACACCGTGCTGTACACACAGTGCGGTACACACCGTGCTGTACACACAGTGCGGTACACACAGTGCGGTACACACCGTGCTGTACACACAGTGCGGTACACACAGTGCGGTACACACCGTGCGGTACACACAGTGCGGTACGCACCGTGCGGTACGCACCGTGCGGTACACACAGTGCGGAACACGCCATGTTGTCCCATGTCCGACCGCGCAATCCGCACGGAGGGAGAATTAAAACCACATAACGCGGCGAATGTTGTACGTATGCATGTTGAACCTCGTCCGCAAGCCAAACTTGCGCCAAATTGGTCCGTGCGAATGTGGTCCAGAACGTGGCTTTGTGCAATAGCCGCGTAGACGGCGCTTGCGAAATCGCACGACGGACGAAAAAACCCGCGTGGGCCGAGGGGGAATCTTGCGTCCATTCTTATGCCGCCCGGGTTGGCTAGGCTCAGGGAGGCAGCAAAGGGCCACTCGTCCGGGCGCTCCCGGGCGAGAGCTCTTTTCCCCGCACGGCCCCCAAAATTCACGAAGGAACAACAACAACAACAATAATAATGCTGACAATGAATCGAAGAGGCGCACCGTCGTGGAGCAGCGCGAGACAGGGGGCGCTCCGGGACCTCCTCACGCCTCGCACCGGAGCTCCGTCCTGAAAACGAGGCCACAGGGATCTCTCATGGGCGGCAACGGCGGCGGCAATAGCGGTGGCGGCAACAGCAGCGGAGGTAATGGCAGCGGCGGCGGCGGCAGCGGCGGCGGCGACAGCAGCAAGTGGCGGCAACAGCGACCATTCACATACAGCTGCCTCTGTGTGTATGTTGAACTTATTTGGCACCGAACGTAGCCAACCGTGCAGCAAAATCGAAGGTGCGGGGAAAGGACAACAACACTAGACACGAGAAGAACCTCAGGGCACCCTGCCGGGAACTGAACCGCGAAGAGCACAGCTCCAGCGGCTTCCCGATATCGGAAGGGAAGAGCGTTCCAGACGGCAGCAGAAACGCGTCTGAAAGCGCCGCGCGGTGCATCGGTGACCACCGTCTTTGTTCGACGACAGCAGGGCCAAAAGCCACCGCCGCTGCGAGGATGACCGGAGTTGGTGTGATGGTGACTCATGCTCCTTGACGAGCTCAGCCAAGCTATTGCGTAGTAGTTCGTCCGTGGCAAGCAATTTATTGCGAGCAACGAGCACGACCTTAGAACGTATTCGCTCGGCAACCGGAAGCCCCCGCGGCTCGGCGAGCACCGGAGGGACCGCGGTCGGAGAATGAGAAAGCGGAGTTCACGGAAACAATAGCAGGAAGCGTGAACGGTAACGGGAAGCGTGAATGGTAACGTGAAGCATCAACGGTAATGGGAAGCATCAACAGTAATAGGAAGCGTGAATGGTAACAGGAAGCGTGAACGGTAACGGGAAGCGTGAACGGTAACGGGAAGCATCAACGGTAACGGGAAGCGTGGACGGTAACGGGAAGCGTGAACGGTAACGGGAAGCATCAACAGTAACGGGAAGCGTGGACGGTAACGGGAAGCGTGGACGGTAACGTCAAGCATCAACAGTAACGGGAAGCATCAACGGTAACGGGAAGCATCAACGGTAACGGGAAGCGTGAACGGTAACGGGAAGCGTGAATGGTAACGGGAAGCGTGAACGGTAACGGGAAGCGTGGACGGTAACGGGAAGCGTGACGAGATCAGCTGCCCCCACCCGCCCCCCTCTCCGATCGTCAAACGTCATCGTCTTGGTCACCTCCTCACGGACGGACACACAGGGAGTAGCGGCAGCGGCGCAGTCAAACCCGTTCACAAGCAGCCACGAACGCAACCTCGTCGTCTGTCGCCGCCCGTCGCGGTCGTCACCTCCTCGGTGGCGAGCAGCTGCGCTCGGATCCGGCGCTCGGCCTCCACCTCGTCGGGCTCCAGTCGCTGCACCTCGCCGTGCCGGAGCGGCCGCAGGTCCCAGCGCCGGTACTGGCGGTCGCCGAGCAGGCCGAAGAGGAGGCCCAGGGCGCGGGGAAGGAGGCCCGGCTCGCGCGTGGAGCCTGGAGAGAGACGCACGTGCGGGCGGGCGGGCGGGAGAGAGCGCGGTGTGACGAGTGACGCACGCACGTGGTGTGGTGTGACGAGTAACACACGCATGTGGTGTGGTGTGACGAGTAACACACGCATGTGGTGTGGTGTGACGAGTAACACACGCATGTGGTGTGGTGTGACGAGTAACACACGCATGTGGTGTGGTGTGACGATCAACACACACACGCAGGCGGCGCGGTGTGACGAGTAACACGCACGCGGTGCGGTGTGACGAGCGACGCACACACGCACGCGTTGCGGTGTGACGAGTAACACACGCATTGCGGTGTGACGAGCGACGCACACACGCATTGCGGTGTGACGAGTGACGCGAACGCGCGCACCGCGGTACCCATGAGCGTGTGCGTCTTTCCCGAGCTGGTGACGCCGTAGGTGAACACCAGGGCACTGTCGCCCCGCACGCACGCACAGACGGGCGCACGCACCGTCGCCTCAAACGCGTCCAGCTGGGAGCAGGCCGGCCCCAACACCTGGGGGAGGGGAGCGGGGTGGGGAGATCGCCGCACACATCCCCTCCCGTGGGTGTGGAGGAGACGGAGCCCCTGGCTAGGCCAGCAGATGGCGGTACAGCAGAGTGTGGACTACACGCCATCTGTTCCATCTGCGCGCGATCGAGCGTTTCCCCACATTGCACGCACCGGTTTTCTCCCACGTGGCAACGCTCATTAGTTAGGTGATGACACCTTCATACGTAGAGGACTGCAGAGCTTGGGGCAATTGTTGGTGGTGCTGGCTTCTCACCACCGCGTGGCTGCTGCTGCTGCTGCCTTCCCACTCCATCGTCTGTGTGGTTCCTCCTCCTGGTGCCTCTGAGTCGTCCTCTCTCCGAGTCATCCCCATGCTCTCATACTCACCTACACTCACCTACATACTCACCTATATACTCACCTATATACTCACCTACACACTCACCTACACACTCACCCACACACTCACCTACATAACCACCCACACTCACCTACATACTCACCTACATACTCACCCACATACTCACCCACATACTCACCCACATACTCACCCACACTCACCCACAATCACCTACACACTCACCTACACACCCACCTACACACCCACCTACACAACCACCCACACTCACCTACATACTCACCCACACTCACCTACATACCTACACACTCACCTACACACCCACCCACACTCACCTACATACTCACCCACACTCACCCACACTCACCTACATACCTACACACTCACCTACACACCCACACACCCACCCAAACTCACCTATAAACCCACCCACACTCACCCACACACTCACCCACACTCACCTACACACTCCCCTACACACCCACACTCACCCACACTCACCCACACTCACCCACACTCACCCACACACACTCACCCACATACTCGCCTACACCCACCCACACTCACCCACACACACTCACACACTCACCTACACACCCACCCACAATCATCCACACACTCACCCACACTCACCCACCCACACCCACCCACACACTCACCCACACCCACCTACACACCCACCCACACTCGCCTACACACTCACCCACCCACACTCACCTACACACCCACCCACACTCACCCACACACTCACCCACCCACACTCACCCACACCCACCCACACTCACCCACCCACACTCACCTACACACCCACCCACACTCACCTACACACTCACTCACCTACACACCCACCTACACACCCACCTACACACCCACCTACACACCCACACACTCAAAAAACACAGTCGCCCACACACTCACCCACCCACCCACACTCACCAGCCCACACCTACACACTCACCTACACATCCACCCACCCACACTCACCCACCCACACCCACCCACACCCACCTGTGTGAATGTGAACTTCTGCAGGGAGGTGACGCCAGCTTTGGGGAGAGAAAGGAGCACAGAGGGTCCAGCCAGCTCCAGACAGCCCTGCTCCACCACCACCAGCACCATCAGTACCACCAGCACAGCCACCAACACCACCATCAGTACCCACCACCAGCACCACCATCAGTACCCCCACCACCACCAGCACCACCACCAGCAGCAGCACCACCACCACCAGCACCAGCACCACCAGCACCACCAGCACAGCCACCAACACCACCATCAGTACCAACACCACCAGCACCACCAGCACCACCACCATCAGTACCACCAGCAGCACCACCACCACCAGCACCAACAGCAGCAGCACCAGAAGCAGCACCACCAGCACCACCACCAGCAGCAGCACCACCACCAGCACCACCCCACCACCACCAGCACCACTAGCAGCACCACCACCAGCAGCAGCACCACCATCAGTACCACCACCACTAGCAGCAGCACCACCATCAGTACCACCACCACCAGCAGCAGCACCACCAGCACCGCCAGTAGCACCACCAGCAGCACCACCACCAACAGCATTCCCACCATCAACACCACCATCAACACCACCACCAACATGAATCATGGTAACACCACCATCATCCCCATCAACACCTTCAACAACAACATCACCACCGTCTACATCATCAAAACCATCAATGACGACAACATCACTACCAACAACAACAGCCGACATTCGTCCCCAAGTGGCGGCGGTGACATCACCACGGCGCCTGTGCCAGGCTAGGTGCACCTTGAGGCCACCACGGTCGAGGGCTCGCTGCTGGCAGGAAGTCACGTGACAGACCCAGCAGGTGCCGTGGGTTGGCTGACTGCGATGAGCGGTAGATGCACCACCAGCTGTACCCCCTACTGTGCCAGGCTAGGTGCAGGAGGTCACGGGACAGACCCAGCAGGTGCCGTGGGATGGCTGACTGAGATGAGCGGTAGATGCACCACCAGCTGTACCCCCTACTGTGCCAGGCTAGGTGCAGGAGGTCACGGGACAGACCCAGCAGGTGCCATGGGTTGGCTGACTGCGATGAGCGGTAGATGCACCACCAGCTGTACCCCCTACTGTGCCAGGCTAGGTGCAGGAGGTCTCGTGACACACCCAGCAGGTGCCAGGCTAGGTGCTGTGCTCCCAACTGTCAACTCGCTGTGTTTTATCCGCCCGGCGCTCCGCTCGTTGTTGTGAGCGTCGCTCCTCTGCCCTCCGTTGTTGCCGGAGGAGGCGACTGCCCTCCAACTGCCCAGTAGCCTCACTGTGCACCTAGCCTGGCACCCCCCGCACCCCCCTCAGTAGCGTCCTTCACGAGCCTCCTCCTCCACAGAGGCCGATCTTGACATCGCTGGTACCGCTCATCGACAAGTCCACTCAGCTCCACGTCCTCACCACCACCATCACCACCACTATCACCACGAACATCACGGGGAGGCTGGCGATAACAATCGCCATGGTGATGGTCTTGTAAAGCTGATGATGGTGAAGAGGGCGATAAAGGCTATGATGGTGACGTGGGCCACGGGGGTGATGGGGGCGATGTTGGTGATGATGGTGATGATGGCGATATGGGTGATGGCGATGTGGGTGATGGTGATGATGACCATGTGGTTGATGCGGGTGATGGGGGCGATGTGGGGTATTGTGATATGGGTGATGATGGTGATATGGGTTTAGGGGGTGACGATGATGATGTTGGTGATGTATCTTGCCTGGTCTTCTCCTCTCTGCAGCTCCTCTCTGCTGAACGGGCGGACTCGGAGAAAGCCCTGCAAGGTTCGCGACTGGGAGGCAGGGAGAGTTGGTGGGTGGGTGAGTGGGTGAGTGAGTGAGTGGGTGAGTGGGTGAGTGAGTGGGTGGGTGAGTGAATGGGTGAGTGGCTGGGTGGGCGAGTGAGTGGGTTGGTGGGTGAGTGAGTGGGTTGGTGAGTGAGTGAGTGGGTTGGTGGGTGAGTGTTGGGGGGGGGGGGTGAGTGAGTGGGTGGGTGAGTGAGTAGGAGTGGGTGGATGAGTGAATGGGTGAGTGAGTGAATGGATGAGTGGGTGAATGGGTGAGTGGGTGAATGGGTGGGTGATTGAGTGGGTGGGTGGGTGAGTGAATGGGTGAGTGGGTGAGTGAATGGGTGAGTGGGTGGGTGAGTGAGTGGGTGAGTGAGTGAGTAGGTGAGTGAGTAGGTGAGTGGATGGGTGAGTAGGTGAGCGAGTGGGCGAGTGGGTGAGTAGGTGAGCGAGTGGGCGAGTGGGTGAGTAAGTGAGTGGGTGAGTGGATGGGTGAGTGGATGGGTGAGTGGATGGGCGAGTAGGTAAGCGAGTAGGTGAGTGAGTAGGTGAGTGGATGGGTGAGTAGGTGAGCGAGTGGGTGAGTAAGTGAGTGGGTGAGTGGATGGGTGAGTGGATGGGTGAGTAGGTGAGCGAGTGGGCGAGTGGGTGAGTAAGTGAGTGGATGGGTGAGTGGGTGAGTGGGTGAGCAGGCGAGTAGGTAAGCGAGTGGGTGAGCGAGTGGGTGAGCGAGTGAGTGAGCGGGTGAGTGAGTGGGTGAGTGAGTGGGTGAGTGGGTGAGTGAGTGGGTGAGTAGGTGAGTTCACTCAGGTGAGCTCACTCACCTGCTCGCGCACCTCCTCGCGCCTGGAGCCCTCCGCCTCCATCCCGATGTCAATGAGCGGCGCGCGCGCGCCCCCAGGCTATTTATAGCGCGTCGTTGTCACGTGACCGCGCAGGTCATTCATTAATGAGCGCATCGATTGTGGGCGTTAATTGTGAACTGCAGTGCTGTCTGAAAATTATTTTTTACACGCTTTTATTTAACTCACTCTATCTGTTGTTGTATCCTCAAATCTTGTAACTCAATGTTAACCCACTTCCCAATGTGGTACCGACTGCAAACTTGGTATACTTACATGTCATACTGATGACAATATTATATTCTGTAATAAAAAATAAACAATATACTTTTTTTAAACATTATTTTTTATATGTTATGTTTCGGCTTGGCTCTAATTGTCCACGGTCCCTTACGTTGTGGCAAGCTTCGGGGCCACTTCCTGGAGTTGTGGAGTTCTGACATTACTCGTACGGTACATTTCATAAAAGCGTGGTTTTTTTTAAGTTTTTAAAAATATAACTTTTATTTTACTTATCTGGCCAGGTGTAAGGCCCCATTGAGCTGTGTATCTATTTTATAGAAGCTGACCCTGCCTAAGTATATATTATATATTTAAAACTATATTACTTTTGGTTTAATTCGCGTAAGTATAAATGTGTCTCATCATTAGATCTCCTTTGCCAGTACCAAAATATAATAATAGTGGTTTTCCCCTTTTTTCTGGCAACAAAACTGAAACCTTTTACAAGGATTCATGTCTGCATTAACCACGATACCTGCAGTCAAAATGCATTGTCTTTGAGCTGTGTGACGCCTTTTGGCGTCATCTGGTCGAGCACCAATTGGGTCGAGGCTCAAAAGAAAGCCGTCCCTTGGTGTGGACCAATCAGTTTCAAGGACAATGCATCAGATATTATCATAGTATGTTTTCTGTTTGCATTTTGACTGCAGGTATTGTGGTTAATGCAGACATTAATCCTCGTAAAAAGGTTTCAGTTTTGTTGCCAGAAAAAAGGGGGAAACCCTATTAGTATAAATGTGCCGTAAAACCCGCCATCACCCAACACAGCCAATCAGTAAGGTTTGTCACGTATTGAACAGAACGTTGCCAATTCGTCGCTGGTGCAAGGGATGTCAGGGGAAGGATTCCCACCAAAAGGAGTGGGGGAGTGGGACGGTGAGCAGCAGGCGAGGAGAGAGAACGGGCAGGGAAAAGGGGGAGTTGGTGGGAACCGGGCACGAGTGTGGACTGGGGGAAGCAATAAAATAAGAACCCCCTGCAATCTGCTGTCGGCTCTCCTTTCCACGAGTACAGCACTAACCGGTTGTGGCAACATTTACAATCTGAGTACGACGTTTCGCCAGTAATTACAACTAGCATCGTCAGGTGGACAGCCAGATTTGTTTTAAAAAAATATCCTCCGGGTTCTCATCATCATCATCATTAGTAAAACTATATTAGTTTTATTTTACCAGGTAGGGCCCCACGGAGCTACGTTGTAGATCTTTTTCAGGAGCGACCTGGCCATCACAAATGATAACTCAACGAAGTGGCTTCTCGCGCGGAAATTTATATCAGCAAAATACTCAGAACGCGTTGTGACGTCGATTTTAAGTGTGGAGGGAAAAAAAGCGGAGGACTGGGAGGACAATCCACGCGACCACGGGGAGACAGAGAGAGACACACACCGCAAACCTCAAATATATAGGAGGCGTCAGGGTCGGGATCGAACCCACGACCTCCTGTACACCAGGCGAGGTAGTTTACATCTCCTAGTCACCGTGATGATGATGAGAGAGAGACACCGCAAACCTCAAATATATAGGAGGCGTCAGGGTCGGGATCGAACCCACGACCTCCTGCATACCAGGCGAGGGAGTTAACATCTCCTAGCCACCGTGATGATGATGAGAGAGAGACACCGCAAACCTCAAATATATAGGCGTCAGGGTCGGGATCGAACCCACGACCTCCTGCATACCAGGCGAGGGAGTTAACACGGGGGGGTGAACTTGGCCAGCGGGCGTGGCCACAGCGCGAATGGGCGTGGCCAGTGCACGAGTTAGGCGTGGCCCAGTGAGCGAGCGAGCGAGGCCAGTGCGCAAGTTAGGCGTGGCCGTTGAGAGTGGGCGTGGCCAGTTGGCGAGTTGGGCGTGGCCAGTTGGCGAGTTGGGCGTGGCCAGTCCGTGAGCAGGAGTGGTCAGTGTGCGAGCGGGCGCGATCACGACGTGGCTAGCGCGTGAGTGGGCGTGGCTATGTAAAAGTGGGCGGGGCTATCGCCGCAGTTCTCGCTGCCGCTGCACAACCACCGCAACGAAACATCGCTCGGCCGACGAAACCTCTGGGCTCGTGCTTTAAATATGTTTATTTTATTTTTTAAACCAATAAAGCTACATGACGCAGCGCAAGGGAGAGGTTATATACAGGTTTAGAACGTGCCTCTCGTGCGTTTATAAAAGGTTTGCGTGCACGTCGGGAGACGGTCCAGGTGTGCGTGCGTTGTGCTGTGTGGCGACGTTAGATTACACGCTGCGGTCTGCATGCACATTACAGGTTCGATACAAAAATACCCACTTCTTACTCGCTCTCCCCTACCCCACCCCCGACGTCTGATATTTTTTATCATCTTCACATTTTCTTCGCGAGGTCCCGATGCACACTTTACAATATTTACATTTGCACACGTATATTTCGTTTTAACTGACGACGATAATAATCATCAGAACTGGTTTAGTTTGTGGCCCTTCCCCCCCCCCCACACACACACCTCTGATTAGCGCGGTCAGCTACCCACGCTGCGAAAGACGTTCAACGTACATACATCCAGTCCCCCCTTCCATACATCATCCCTTCCATACGTAGTCGTAGTAGTAATAATAATAATAATGGATGATAGCAGAAAGCACGCGAGTTTATTGCAAGGGCTCTGAATGTGTGAGTGACGAGTCAGCTGGTCTCGGGCCAAGGTATTATAGACAAATGCACAGAAGTTTCTGGGATGAACGCCATCGCATCGCCGTGGCAGCAGCGGCGGCGGCGCTAGGAGGCATCTTGGGCTAGGAGGCCTCTTGGGCTAGGAGGCCTCTTGAGCTAGGAGGCCTCTTGGGCTAGGAGGCCTCTTGGGCTAGGAGGCCTCTTGGGCTAGGAGGCCTCTTTGGGCTAGGAGGCCTCTTGGGCTAGGAGGCCTCTTGGGCTAGGGGGCCTCTTGGGCTAGGAGGCCTCTTTGGGCTAGGAGGCCTCTTGGGCTAGGAGGCCTCTTGGGCTAGGAAGCTCTGGATCTGCGGGAAAGTCGGCCGGTCCAGCGACTCCCGGCGCCAGCACCGCAGCATGAGGTCGTAGACGGCAGTGGGGCAGGCGGGCGGCTGAGACAGGTACATCTGCTTGCACACGTGGAGAGATACACAGAGCGCCAACGGTGGCAAGACGTTAACTAGCTCACCGTGTATACAGGAGGTCCATGGGTTCAATCCCGACCCTGAGGCCTGCTGTGGATTTAAGAGTTTGCATTTCTCCCCCCGTGGTCGCGAGGATTTTTTTTTCCGCGCCCCCAGTTTGCAGCCATCAGTTTTGAGCTGTCGTTTGTGGCCATGTCGCTTCTGAAAAAAAGAGCTGCTATAGAGCTGAGTGGGCCTGGCGAGAAGGCCTAGCGATGAGAGCTATTGATGAGACCTAGCGATGAGAGCTATTGATGAGGCCTAGTGAGGAGGCCTAGCGATGAGAGCTATTGATGAGACCTAGCGATGAGAGCTATTGATGAGACCTAGCGATGAGAGCTATTGATGAGACCTGGTGAGGAGGGCTGGTGAGGAGGCCTAGCGATGAGAGCTATTGAGGAGGGCTAGCGATGAGAGCTATTGATGAGGCCTAGTGAGGAGGCCTAGCGATGAGAGCTATTGAGGAGGGCTAGCGATGAGAGCTATTGAGGAGGGCTAGCGATGAGAGCTATTGATGAGGCCTAGTGAGGAGGCCTAGCGATGAGAGCTATTGATGAGGCCTAGCGATGAGAGCTATTGATGAGACCTGGTGAGGAGGGCTGGTGAGGAGGCCTAGCGATGAGAGCTATTGATGAGGCCTAGCGATGAGAGCTATTGATGAGGCCTAGCGATGAGAGCTATTGATGAGACCTAGCGATGAGAGCTATTGATGAGACATAGCGATGAGAGCTATTGATGAGACATAGCGATGAGAGCTATTGATGAGGTCTAGCGATGAGAGCTATTGATGAGACCTAGCGATGAGAGCTATTGATGAGACCTAGCGATGAGAGCTATTGATGAGACCTAGCGATGAGAGCTATTGATGAGACCTAGCGATGAGAGCTATTGATGAGACCTAGCGATGAGAGCTATTGATGAGACCTAGCGATGAGAGCTATTGATGAGACCTAGCGATGAGAGCTATTGATGAGACCTAGCGATGAGAGCTATTGATGAGACCTAGCGATGAGAGCTATTGATGAGGCCTAGCGATGAGAGCTATTGATGAGGCCTAGCGATGAGAGCTATTGATGAGACCTAGCGATGAGAGCTATTGATGAGGCCTAGTGATGAGAGCTATTGATGAGACCTAGCGATGAGAGCTATTGATGAGACCTAGCGATGAGAGCTATTGATGAGACCTAGCGATGAGAGCTATTGATGAGGCCAAGTGATGAGAGCTATTGATGAGACCTAGCGATGGGAGCTATTGATGAGACCTAGCGATGAGAGCTATTGATGAGACCTAGCGATGAGAGCTATTGATGAGACCTAGCGATGAGAGCTATTGATGAGACCTAGCGATGAGAGCTATTGATGAGACCTAGCGATGAGAGCTATTGATGAGACCTAGCGATGAGAGCTATTGATGAGACCTAGCGATGAGAGCTATTGATGAGGCCTAGCGATGAGAGCTATTTATGAGACCTAGCGATGAGAGCTATTGATGAGACCTAGCGATGAGAGCTATTGATGAGACCTGGTGAGGAGGGCTGGTGAGGAGGCCTAGCGATGAGAGCTATTGATGAGGCCTAGCGATGAGAGCTATTGATGAGGCCTAGCGATGAGAGCTATTGATGAGACCTAGCGATGAAAGCTATTGATGAGACCTAGCGATGAGAGCTATTGATGAGACCTAGCGATGAGAGCTATTGATGAGACCTAGCGATGAGAGCTATTGATGAGACCTAGCGATGAGAGCTATTGATGAGACCTAGCGATGACAGCTATTGACGAGACCTAGCGATGAGAGCTATTGATGAGACCTAGCGATGAGAGCTATTGATGAGACCTAGCGATGAGAGCTATTGATGAGACCTAGCGATGAGAGCTATTGATGAGACCTGGTGAGGAGGGCTGGTGAGGAGGCCTAGCGATGAGAGCTATTGAGGAGGGCTAGCGATGAGAGCTATTGATGAGGCCTAGTGAAGAGGCCTAGCGATGAGAGCTATTGAGGAGGGTTAGCGATGAGAGCTATTGAGGAGGGCTAGCGATGAGAGCTATTGATGAGGCCTAGTGAGGAGGCCTAGCGATGAGAGCTATTGATGAGGCCTAGCGATGAGAGCTATTGATGAGACCTGGTGAGGAGGGCTGGTGAGGAGGCCTCGCGATGAGAGCTATTGATGAGGCCTAGCGATGAGAGCTATTGATGAGGCCTAGCGATGAGAGCTATTGATGAGACCTAGCGATGAGAGCTATTGATGAGACCTAGCGATGAGAGCTATTGATGAGACCTAGCAATGAGAGCTATTGATGAGGCCTAGCGATGAGAGCTATTGATGAGACCTAGCGATGAGAGCTATTGATGAGACCTAGCGATGAGAGCTATTGATGAGACCTAGCGATGAGAGCTATTGATGAGACCTAGCGATGAGAGCTATTGATGAGACCTAGCGATGAGAGCTATTGATGAGGCCTAGCGATGAGAGCTATTGATGAGACCTAGCGATGAGAGCTATTGATGAGGCCTAGCGATGAGAGCTATAGATGAGACCTAGCGATGAGAGCTATTGATGAGACCTAGCGATGAGAGCTATTGATGAGACCTAGCGATGAGAGCTATTGATGAGACCTAGCGATGAGAGCTATTGATGAGACCTAGCGATGAGAGCCATTGATGAGACCTAGCGATGAGAGCTATTGATGAGACCTAGCGATGAGAGCTATTTATGAGACCTAGCGATGAGAGCTATTGATGAGGCCTAGCGATGAGAGCTATTGATGAGACCTAGCGATGAGAGCTATTGATGAGACCTAGCGATGAGAGCTATTGATGAGACCTGGTGAGGAGGGCTGGTGAGGAGGCCTAGCGATGAGAGCTATTGATGAGGCCTAGCGATGAGAGCTATTGATGAGGCCTAGCGATGAGAGCTATTGATGAGACCTAGCGATGAAAGCTATTGATGAGACCTAGCGATGAGAGCTATTGATGAGACCTAGCGATGAGAGCTATTGATGAGGCCTAGCGATGAGAGCTATTGATGAGACCTAGCGATGAGAGCTATTGATGAGACCTAGCGATGAGAGCTATTGATGAGACCTAGCGATGAGAGCTATTGATGAGGCCTAGCGATGAGAGATATTGATGAGACCTAGCGATGAGAGCTATTGATGAGACCTAGCGATGAGAGCTATTGATGAGACCTAGCGATGAGAGCTATTGATGAGGCCTGGTGAGGAGGGCTAACACAGAGACCTAGTGGTGAGGCCTAGTGAGGAAGCCTAGCGAGGAGAATCCTCCAGTTTTAAGCCAAATACTCAAAACATGCGTTTAGAGTATTTGGCTGCTATACATTTTCACATAAGCCACTTTGTTAAGCTATTATGTGTGGCCAGGTCACTTCTGAAAGATAGCTATATAGCTCAGTGGGCCTATCGAGGAGGCCTAGTGAGGAGAGCTACTGTTGAGGCCTAGCGATGAAGCCTAGTGAGGAGGCCTAGTGAGAAGAACTACTGATGAGGCCTAGCGAGGAGGTCTAGTGAGGAGAGCTACTGATGAGGCCTAGCGATGAAGCCTAGTGAGGAGGCCTAGTGAGAAGAGCTACTGAGGTCTAGCAAGGAGGCCTAGTGAGGAGAGCTATTGGTGAGGCCTAGCGAGGAGGTCTAGTGAGGCGAGCTACTGATGAGGCCTAGCGATGAGGCCTAGTGAGGAGAGCTACTGATGAGGCCTAGCGATGAGGCCTAGTGAGGAGAGCTACTGATGAGGCCTAGCGATGAGGCCTAGTGAGGAGAGCTACTGATGAGGCCTAGCGATGAGGCCTAGTGAGGAGAGCTACTGATGAGGCCTGGTGAGGAGGCCTAGTGAGGAGGCCTGGTGAGGAGGCCTAGTGAGGCCTGTTGAGAAGGCCTAGTGAGGCCTGGTGAGGAGGTCTAGTGAGGAGGCCTGGTGAGGAGGCCTGGTGAGGCCTGGTGAGGAGGCCTGGTGAGGAAGCCTGGTGAGGAGGCCTAGTGAGGAGGCCTAGTGAGGAGGCCTGGTGAGGAAGTCTAGTGAGGAGGCCTAGTGAGGAGGCCTGGTGAGGAAGTCTAGTGAGGAGGCCTGGTGAGGAAGTCTAGTGAGGAGGCCTAGTGAGGAGGCCTGGTGAGGAAGTCTAGTGAGGAGGCCTAGTGAGGAGGCCTGGTGAGGCCTGGTGAGGAGGCCTGGTGAGGAGGCCTGGTGAGGAAGTCTAGTGAGGAGGCCTAGTGAGGAGGCCTAGTGAGGAGGCCTGGTGAGGAGGCCTAGTGAGGAGGCCTAGTGAGGAGGCCTGGTGAGGAGGCTCGGCAGTGAGTCCCAGCGATGAGGGCGCACCTGACGGCCGTTGTCGCGGAAGAGCTCCCCGGCGTTCTCGATGACCAGCTCGTCGGTGAGGCCACCGTACGGCTGCTCTTGGCAGAGTGACAGCAGCTCCCACAGCGTGACACCAAACGCCCACACGTCTGAGCCTGTCGTGAACTTGCCCTGCGCGGTGACACGGCGACCACAGCAGTGACACGGTGCCAGACAAAGACCCCCCCCCCGTGTTACATTTTAACAGACTCCAGGCGGGGCAAGTGCTGTCGGCGAGTAGCAGCACCTACGAAGGGGACGGCACTGTGGGGCCAGAGTTTGGTGGCCAACGCCACGCGCGGCTGCCTTTGTCTTCCCGGCAGCGATGTTGACGCACCGCACCAGATACTCGTTTGAGTCTGAGTCGACCTAGGGGAGGCCCCCACAGGCCCGTTCAGATAATCATCAGTGGTGTTGGCCATGAGCAGGAATCGAACTCGGGTAGCCGAGTTCGTAGAGCAATGCGCTAACACCCGCTATTCTCCAGTAAGTGACGGTGACGTTACCACGGCACCTGTGCCAGGCCAGGTGCACTCTAAGGCCACGTGAAGTGTTGAAGGCTCGCTGACAGGAGGTCACGGGACAGACCCAGCAGAGCCTCCTCCACAGAGGCCGATCTTGACACCGCTGGTACAAGCCGTCGGCAAGTCCACTCAGCTCCAGATCCTCCTGTACCACATCAGCTCCATCTCTTCCCCAGCCCATGTCGTGCCCGTTGAGCCCCCCTCTATGTGACCAAATAAAAGTTGCTTGGGCATGAGGTGGCTGGGCATGCGGGCTACATGACCCAGCCAACGCAGCCTTGTCTGCCGGAGGAGTTCACCGATGGGAATGTGTCCAGATCTTTCAAGGATTTGTGAAGCTCCTCACACAATCCAACTTGGTTACACCCAGGATGGATCGTAAACCCGGGATGAATCGGTGGCACACACGGTGACACACACAAAGTATAGGCACACATACGCATCGACATGCACGGACAGGGACACACACACACAGTGGCACACACAATATAGATACACGCAGTATAGACACACACACAGAGGCACACACAATACAGATACACACAGTATAGACACACACACAGAGGCACACACAATATAGATACACACAGTATAAGACACACACACACACAGTGGCACACACAATATAGATACACGCAGTATAGACACACACAGTGGCACACACAATATAGATACAGTATAGACACACACACAGTGGCACACACAATATAGATACACACAGTATAGACACACAGTGGCACACAATATAGATACACAGTATAGACACACACACACAGTGGCACACACAATACAGATACACACAGTATAGACACACACACAGTGGCACACACAATATAGATACACACAGTATAAGACACACACACACACAGTGGCACACACAATATAGATACACGCAGTATAGACACACACAGTGGCACACACAATATAGATACAGTATAGACACACACACAGTGGCACACACAATACAGATACACACAGTATAGACACACACACAGTGGCACACACAATATAGATACACACAGTATAGACACACACACAGTGGCACACACACAATACAGATACACACAGTATAGACACACACACAGTGGCACACACAATATAGATACACACAGTATAGACACACAGTGGCACACACAGTAGAGACACACAGTATAGACACACAGTGGCACACACAATACAGACACACACAGTATAGACACACACACAGTGGCACACACACAATACAGATACACACAGTATAGACACACACACAGTGGCACACACACAATATAGACACACACAATATAGACACACACAGTATAGACACACATTATGGACACACACACAGTGGCACACACAATACAGATACACGCAGTATAGACACACACACAGTGACACACACACAATACAGACACACACAGTATAGACACACACACAGTGGCACACACACAATACAGATACACACAGTATAGACACACACACAGTATAGACACACATTATAGACACACACACAGTGACACACACACAATACAGACACACACAGTATAGACACACACACAGTGGCACACACACAATATAGATACACACAGTATAGACACACACACAGTATAGACACACATTATAGACACACACACAGTGGCACACACAATACAGATACACACAGTATAGACACACACAGTGGCACACACAATACAGATACACACAGTATAGACACACACACAGTGGCACACACACAATACAGATACACACAGTATAGACACACACACACACAATACAGATACACACAGTATAGACACACACAGTATAGACACACACAATACAGATACACAGTATAGACACACACAATACAGATACACGCAGTATAGACACACCAGAAGCACGCTCTCCCAGGCCATCCAGCGGATGGGCAGCACGGCGCGGCCCTGGATGCGGTAGTAGTCACTGCTGTAGAGGTGGCGGCTCATGCCGAAGTCGGCGATCTTGATGGTGTGCCCCGGCCCCACGAGGCAGTTGCGCGATGCCAGGTCGCGGTGCACGAAGTTGAGCGACGCCAGGTAGGACATGCCGGCGGCCACCTGCACGGCCATGAGCAGCACCTCCACCACGCTGACACGCGGGAGACGCACGCCGTCACAAAGATCCGCTCCCACCCCCCCCAACCTCACCCTCGTAAAGTCTTAATAGACTGTTTTTCGATTTAAAGCTTTCGTGACTGCAAGGATTCATCTTCTTTGGTTCTTTCGGTAAGGTCACCACGTAGAATGAGAATAAAATAATACATTGATAAAATAACACAATAATATTCTCACGACGTTTCGGCCGCAACACAAGCGGCCTTCATCAGGTGAAGGGGACGAGACTGTCTGGTAGGACAGCGCTGGAGTGTTGTCCTCCAGACAGTCTCGTCCCCTTCACCTGATGAAGGCCGCTTGTGTTGTGGCCGAAACGTCGTGAGAATATTATTGTGTTATTTTATTTTATCAACGTATTATTTTATTCTCTTAATAGACTGTTGGGATCGACATCGTCATAATTCGTCGTCGTCGTCGTCATCATCGTTTTCATTGTCCACGTTGTCGTCATCGTGCCTGACTGCCAGATGCACCCACGCGCTCCGCACTGCATATTAGCCACCCGGCGCTCCGCTCGCTGTGGCCGTCTCCGCCCTCCGTCGTTGCTGGAGGGCGACTGCCTCCAGCTGCCCAGCGGCGTCCTTCACGAGCCTCCTCCTCCTCCACGGAGGCCGATCTTGACACCGCTGGTTCCAGCGAGACACTCGCGGCGGGTGACCACCACTTCCGATATTTTTGAGGCACCACAGCTCCAAGAAGGTTCATCCCACACCTTGCCCCAGGTTCAGGTGAGTGAGTAACCGAGTGAGGGAGATCACCTGAGATCGGTTCAGGCGTGCGGGTGTGCGCTAGTGAGATCACCTAAGGTCAGTACAGGTGAGTGAGTGAGGGAGATCACCTGAGCTTATGTTCAGGTGAGTGAGTGAGATCGCCTGAGATCGGTACAGGCGAGTGAGTGAACGAATTAGAATCACAGTTCCTATGATCACTGTTACATTGTTTTTATAGCCTTATTTTGGTGATTTCGAAAACGTTTTGGTTTAGCCATATTTGTTTGTTGTAGTACAGAGTTAGACTGATAACGTTAATCTAAATTGTCTAATGGTTGTTATTGTTTGGCTTGCATCCCACTGGGATTTGTGCACACAGCGTTGATATACGGTGCTTTTTCTGGAAGACTTTGCTGTTTTTTTTTCCTGGATTTTTCCGTTTCCTGTTCGTGTTTTTATTTGTTGCGGTTCTAGAGCCGCATGGCTCACAGGGCTATGCCTAATAAACGAAACTGAGACGGTAGAGGCGAGCGAGCGTGCGAGCGAGGCGAGAGGCCCACCTGAGCGTGGGCCCGGGGCCCTGTCCCTCCCAGCGGTGTGCCGACAGGAAGTGATGCAGGTCTCCGTTCTCCATGTACTCGGCGAGCATGCAGAGCGGCTCGTCGCGCAGGCACACGCCCACGAGCCGCACGACGTGAGCGTCGCGCAGCCGCGACATCGTCTTGATCTCCTTCAGGAAGTCGCTCCTGACGCACGCACGCACGCAGAGACCCCCCCCCCCCACGTGGCCTCAACGGACTGTTGGGGCGAGCGCCGTTGGCTAGCAGCGCCTGTGAAGGCCGGCACGGCGCACGAGGGGGTGGGTGGCCAGCACCACGCTCGGCCGCCTTTGCCTTCCCAGTGGCGATGTTTACGCACCGCACCGGGTGCTTATTTCAGGCTGAGTCGACCTAGGGGAGGCCCAAGACCGGTTCAGATAATCGTTACTGGTGTTGGCCGTGAGCGGGGAATCGAACTCGGGTCGCCGGGTTCAGAGTGCAGGGCGCCAATCGCGACACTACTGCTTTAAGACACACAGACACACCTACAGACGACACACACACAGACGACACACACAGACGACACACACAGGCAACACACACACACAGATGACACACACAGACGACACACACAGACGACACACACACATGACACACCCAGGCAACACACACACAGATGACACACACACAGACGACACACACAGACAACACACACAGGCGACACACACACACAGACGACACACACACGCACAGGCGACACACAGGCGACACACACGCACAGGCAACACACACAGATGACACACACACAGATGACACACACACACAGACGACACACACACACAGGTGACACACACAGATGACACACACACAGATGACACGCACACACACATGACACACACACATGACACACACACAGATCACACACACACATGACACACACACATGACACACACACAGATGACACACACACGCGACACACACAGGCGACACACACACACATGACACACACACATGACACACACACATGACACACATGACACACATGACACACACACATGACACACACACACGTGACACGCACACACATGACACACACATGACACACACATGACACACACATACACATGACACACACATGACACACACACATGACACACATGACACACACATGACACGCACGCACATGACACACACACATGCCATACACACACATGACACACACACACATGACACACACACACATGACACACACATGACACGCACGCACATGACACACACACACAGATGACACACACACATGACACACACACAGATGACACACACACGACACACACACGCGACACACACAGGCGACACACACACACATGACACACACACGTGACACGCACACACATGACACACACATGACACACACACATGACACACACATACACATGACACACACATGACACACACACGACACACACACACATGACACACACATTACACGCACGCACATGACACACACACATGACACACACACACGACACACATGACACACACATGACACGCACGCACATGACACACACACACATGACACACACACACACAGATGACACACACATGACACACACACACATGACACACACACACATGACACACACACACATGACACACACACACGACACACATGACACACACATGACACGCACGCACATGACACACACACATGACACACACACACATGACACACACACACATGACACACACATGACACACACACACAGATGACACACATGACACACACACACATGACACACACACACATGACACACACACACACAGATGACACACACATGACACACACACACATGACACACACACACATGACACACACACACATGACGCACATACATGACACACACACATGACACACATGACACACATGACACACACACATGACACACACATGACACACACATGACACACACGCACACACATGACACACACATGACACACACACATGACACACACACATGACACACACATGACACACACACACATGACACACATGACACGCACATGACATACACACATGACACACTCACACATGACACACACACATGACAAACACATGACACACATTACACACACACATACATGACACACACATGACACACACACACATGACACACACACATGACACACACACATGACACACATGACACACACATGACACGCAAATGACATACACACATGACACACTCACACATGACACACACACATGACACACACATGACACACACACATGACACACACATACATGACACACACATGACACGCACGCACATGACACACACACATGACACACACACATGACACACTCACACATGACACACACACATGACACACATGACACACACAGACATACATGACACACACATGACACGCACGCACATGACACACACACATGACACACACACACATGACACACACACACATGACACACATGACACACACATGACACGCACATGACATACACACATGACACACTCACACATGACACACACACATGACACACACATGACACACATGACACACACACATGACACACACATACATGACACACACATGACACGCACGCACATGACACACACACATGACACACACACACATGACACACACACATGACACACACACACATGACACACACGACACACACACATGACACACACATGACACACACATGACACACATGACACGCACATGACACACACACATGACACACACATCACACACGACACACATACATGACACACACATGACACACACACACACGACACACATGACACACATGACACACACACGACACACATGACACACATGACACACACACACACATGACACACACACATGACACACACATGACACACACATGACACACACACATGACACACACATGACACACACACATGACACACACATGACACACACACATGACACACACACATGACACACACATGACACACACATGACACACACATGACACACACGACACACACATGACACACACACATGACACACACATGACACACACATGACGCACACACACATGACACACACACATGACACACACATGACACACACATGACACACACACATGACACACACATGACACACATGACACACACATGACACACACATGACACACACACATGACACACACATGACACACACATGACACACACACATGACACACACACATGACACACACATGACACACACATGACACACATGACACGCACATGACACACACACATGACACACACACATGACACACACACATGACACACACATGACACACACATGACACACACACATGACACACACACATGACACACACACATGACACACACATGACACACACACATGACACACACACATGACACACACATGACACACACACATGACACACACACATGACACACACATGACACACACATGACACACACATGACACACACATACATGACACACACATGACACACACATGACACACACACATGACACACACATGACACACACATGACACACACACATGACACACACATGACACACACATGACACACACACATGACACACACATGACACACACATGACACACACACATGACACACACACATGACACACACATGACACACACATGACACACACACATGACACACACATGACACACACATGACACACACACACGACACACACATGACACACACATGACACACACATGACACACACACACATGACACACACATGACACACACATGACACACACATGACACACACATGACACACACACACATGACACACACATGACACACACATGACACACACGCATGACACACATGACACACACATGACACACACACACATGACACACACATGACACACACATGACACACACACATGACACACACATGACACACACATGACACACACACACATCACACACTCACACATGACACACACACATGACACACACATGACACACACACATGACACACACACATGACACACATGACACACACACATGACACACATGACACACACATGACACACACATGACACACACATGACACACACACATGACACACACACACATGACACACACATGACACACACATGACACACACATGACACACACATGACACACACATGACACACACACATGACACACACACATGACACACACATGACACACACATGACACACACACACATGACACACACACACATGACACACACATGACACACACATGACACACACACACACGACACACACATGACACACACATGACACACACATCACACACATGACACACACACACATGACACACACACATGACACACACATGACACACACACATGACACACACACACATGACACACACACATGACACACACATGACACACACATGACACACACACATGACACACACACATGACACACACATGACACACAAACACATGACACACACATGACACACACATGACACACACACACATGACACACACATGACACACACATGACACACACACTCACACATGACACACACACACATGACACACACATGACACACACACATGACACACACACACATGACACACACACATGACACACACATGACACACACATGACACACATGACACACACATGACACACACATGACACACATGACACACACATGACACACACATGACACACACATGACACACACACATGACACACATGACACACACATGACACACACATGACACACACATGACACACACACATGACACGCACATGACACACACACACACACACATGACACACATGACACACACATGACACACACACATGACACACACATGACACACACATGACACACACACATGACACACACACATGACACACACACATGACACACACACACATGACACACACACATGACACACACACATGACACACACATGACACACACATGACACACACACACGACACACACATGACACACACATGACACACACATCACACACATGACACACACATGACACACACACATGACACACACATGACACACACATGACACACACACATGACACACACACACATGACACACACACATGACACACACATGACACACACATGACACACACATGACACACACACATGACACACACATGACACACACACACATGACACACACATGACACACACATGACACACACATGACACACACACATGACACACACATGACACACACATGACACACACACACATCACACACTCACACATGACACACACACACATGACACACACATGACACACACACACGACACACACACATGACACACACACATGACACACACATGACACACACATGACACACATGACACACACATGACACACACATGACACACATGACACACACGACACACACATGACACACACATGACACACACACATGACACACATGACACACACATGACACACACATGACACACACATGACACACACATGACACGCACATGGCACACACACACATGACACACACATGACACACATGACACACACATGACACACATGACACACACATGACACACACATGACACACACACACATGACACACACACACATGACACACACACATGACACACACATGACACACACATGACACACACACACGACACACACATGACACACACATCACACACATGACACACACACATGACACACACACATGACACACACACATGACACACACACATGACACACACACACATGACACACACACATGACACACACATGACACACACATGACACACACACATGACACACACATGACACACACATGACACACACACACATGACACACACATGACACACACATGACACACAAATGACACACACACACACATGACACACACATGACACACACATGACACACACACACATCACACACTCACACATGACACACACACACATGACACACACATGACACACACACATGACACACACACACATGACACACACACATGACACACACATGACACACACATGACACACATGACACACACATGACACACACATGACACACATGACACACACATGACACACACATGACACACACATGACACACATGACACACATGACACACACATGACACACACATGACACACACATGACACACACACATGACACGCACATCACACACACACATGACACACACATGACACACATGACACACACATGACACACATGACACACACATGACACACATGACACACACATGACACACACATGACACACACATGACACACACACATGACACACACATGACACACACACATGACACGCACATGACACACACACACATGACACACACATGACACACATGACACACACGACACACATGACACACACATGACACACATGACACACACATGACACACACATGACACACATGACACACATGACACACACATGACACACACATGACACACACATGACACACACATGACACACATGACACACACATGACACACACATGACACACACATGACACACACATGACACACACATGACACGCACATGACACGCACATGACACACATGACACACACACATGACACACATGACACACACATGACACACATGACACACACATGACACACACATGACACACACATGACACACACACATGACACACACATGACACACACACATGACACGCACATGACACACACACACACATGACACACACATGACACACATGACACACACATGACACACATGACACACACATGACACACATGACACACACATGACACACACATGACACACATGACACACATGACACACACATGACACACACATGACACACATGACACACACATGACACACACATGACACACACATGACACACACATGACACACATGACACACACATGACACACACATGACACGCACATGACACACATGACACACACACATGACACACATGACACACACATGACACACATGACACACACATGACACACACATGACACACACATGACACACACACATGACACACACATGACACACACACATGACACACACATGACACACATGACACACACATGACACACATGACACACACATGACACACATGACACACACATGACACACACATGACACACATGACACACATGACACACACATGACACACACATGACACACATGACACACATGACACACACATGACACACACATGACACACACATGACACACATGACACACACATGACACACACATGACACACACATGACACACACATGACACACACATGACACACACATGACACACACATGACACACACATGACACACACATGACACACACATGACACACACATGACACACACATGACACACACATGACACACACATGACACACACATGACACACACACATGACACACACATGACACACACATGACACACACATGACACACACATGACACACACACATGACACACACATGACACACACATGACACACACATGACACACACACATGACACACACATGACACACACATGACACACACATGACACACACATGACACACACATGACACACACATGACACACACATGACACACACACGACACACACACATGACACACACATGACACACACATGACACACACATGACACACACATGACACACACACATGACACACACACATGACACACACATGACACACACATGACACACACATGACACACACATGACACACACATGACACACACATGACACACACATGACACACACATGACACACACATGACACACACATGACACACACATGACACACACATGACACACACATGACACGCACGCTCACCTGGCGCTGCTCGAGGCGTCTTCCCGCAGCATCTTGACAGCGACGAGTGTGGGCTGCGGTGGCCCCCCCCTCGTGCCTCCCTCGTCGCGCTCCTCCACCTCCTCCACCTCGTCATCGTCCACGCACCGCGGCAGCCCCACGGCCTCGCACAGCAGCACCTGCCAGGCCAGGCGGACACACGACCAGAGCGGCACGTCGTCGTCATCGTCGTCATCCTCGTCGTCATCGTCGTCATCGCCGCCATCATCGTCGTCATCATTGTCATCATCAACGTCATGATCACACAACCACAATAAACGCCATATCGTCATCACCATGTCCCTGTGTCCCGTGTCCCAGTGTCTCAGTGTCTCGTCTCCCCAATGTCCCAGTGGTCTCGTTGTCTCCTCGATGTACCAGCGGTCTCGTCTCCCCAATGTCCCAGTGTCTCAGTGTCTCAGTGTCTCGTTGTCTCCCCAATGTCCCAGTGGTCTCAGTGTCTCAGTGTCTCGTTGTCTCCCCAATGTCCCAGTGGTCTCAGTGTCTCAGTGTCTCAGTGTCTCGTTGTCTCCCCAATGTCCCAGTGGTCTCAGTGTCCCAGTGTCTCAGTGTCTCGTTGTCTCCCCAATGTCTCAGTGTCTCAGTGTCTCGTTGTCTCCCCAATGTCCCAGTGGTCTCGTCTCCTCGATGTACCAGCGGTCTCGTCTCCCCAATGTCCCAGTGTCTCAGTGTCTCGTTGTCTCCCCAATGTCCCAGTGGTCTCAGTGTCTCAGTGTCTCGTTGTCTCCCCAATGTCCCAGTGGTCTCAGTGTTCCAGTGTCTCAGTGTCTCGTTGTCTCCCCAATGTCCCAGTGGTCTCAGTGTCTCAGTGTCTCAGTGTCTCGTTGTCTCCCCAATGTCCCAGTGGTCTCAGTGTCCCAGTGTCTCAGTGTCTCGTTGTCTCCCCAATGTCTCAGTGTCTCAGTGTCTCGTTGTCTCCCCAATGTCCCAGTGGTCTCGTCTCCTCGATGTACCAGCGGTCTCGTCTCCCCAATGTCCCAGTGTCTCAGTGTCTCGTTGTCTCCCCAATGTCCCAGTGGTCTCAGTGTCTCAGTGTCTCAGTGTCTCGTTGTCTCCCCAATGTCCCAGTGGTCTCAGTGTTCCAGTGTCTCAGTGTCTCGTTGTCTCCCCAATGTCCCAGTGGTCTCAGTGTCTCAGTGTCTCAGTGTCTCGTTGTCTCCCCAATGTCCCAGTGGTCTCAGTGTTCCAGTGTCTCAGTGTCTCGTTGTCTCCCCAATGTCTCAGTGTCTCAGTGTCTCGTTGTCTCCCCAATGTCCCAGTGGTCTCGTTGTCTCCTCGATGTACCAGCGGTCTCGTCTCCCCAATGTCCCAGTGTCTCAGTGTCCCAGTGTCTCGTCTCCCCAATGTCCCAGTGGTCTCAGTGTCTCGTTGTCTCCCCAATGTCCCAATGTCTATCTGTCTCGTCTCCCCAGTGTCTCAGTGTTTCATTGTCTCCCCAATGTCCCAGTGGTCTCGTTGTCTCCCCGATGTCCCAGTGGTCTCGTCTCCCCAATGTCCCAGTGGTCTCGCTGTCTCCCCAGTGTCTCAGTGTCTCGTTGTCTCCCCAGTGTCCCAGTGGTCTCGCTGTCTCCCCAGTGTCTCAGTGTCTCGTTGTCTCCCCAGTGTCCCAGTGGTCTCGCTGTCTCCCCAGTGTCTCAGTGTCTCAGTGTATCCCCAGTGTCTCAGTGTCCCAGTGGTCTCGTTGTCTCCCCAGTGTCTCAGTGTCTCACCTCTCCGAACTGCCCCTCCCCCAGCTTCTCCCGCACGCGCAGCGTCTCACGCGGCACCTCGAGGAGCCGCGCCACGTGGTGGCCCGGCACCTCGTGGTGGCCCGGCACCTCGTGGTGGCCCGGCACCTCGAGGTGGCCCGGCACAGCCGCCGCGTCTCCCGGCACCGCGGGCACGGCGTAGGCGCTGCTGCCCGTCACACCCTGGCGGCGGCACAACGGCGACAACAACAACAACAACATCGACAACAACAACATCAACAGCATCAACAACAGCATCACGACTCGGAGAGAGAGGAGCAGGAACCACAGACGAGGAGTGGGAACGCAGCAGCCAGCCCCAAGCTCTGCCGCCCTCGACATATCGAGGCGTTGCCGGCCACGGGAAGGGAGCGTCGCAAAATCCGAGCGGTGATCCACCAACCCCCGCCTTTACCTGTGTGAGTACCTGCATGTCCACCAGAGACTACGTGGATACCTTTACCTGGGTGAGTACCTGCATGTCCACAGGAGACTACGTGGGAGACCTTTGCCTGGGTGAGTACCTGCATGTATATCAGAGACTACGTGGGAGACCTTTGCCTGGGTGAGTACCTGCATGTCCACCAGAGACTACGTGGGGGACCTTTACCTGGGTGAGTACCTGCATGTCCACAGGAGACTACGTGGAGAGCTTTACCTGTGTGAGTACCTGCATGTCCACCAGAGACTACGTGTGCGTGAGTACCTGCATGTCCACCAGAGACTACGTGGGAGACCTTTACCTGGGTGAGTACCTGCATGTCCACAGGAGACTACGTGTGGGTGAGTACCTGCATGTCCACAGGAGACTACGTGTGGGTGGGTACCTGCATGTCCACAGGAGACTACGTGTGGGTGAGTACCTGCATGTCCACAGGAGACTACGTGTGAGTGGGTACCTGCATGTCCACAGGAGACTACGTGTGGGTCGGTACCTGCATGTCCACAGGAGACTACGTGTGGGTGAGTACCTGCATGTCCACAGGAGACTACGTATGGGTGGGTACCTGCATGTCCACAGGAGACTACGTGTGGGTGGGTACCTGCATGTCCACAGGAGACTACGTGTGGGTGGGTACCTGCATGTCCACCAGAGACTACGTGTGGGTGGGTACCTGCATGTCCACAGGAGACTACGTGTGGGTGGGTACCTGCATGTCCACCAGAGACTATGTGTGGGTGGGTACCTGCATGTCTACAGGAGACTACGTGTGGGTGGGTACCTGCATGTCTACAGGAGACTACGTGTGGGTGGGTACCTGCATGCCTACAGGAGACTATGTGTGGGTGGGTACCTGCATGTCTACAGGAGACTACGTGTGGGTGGGTACCTGCATGTCCACAGGAGACTATGTGTGGGTACCTGCATGTCCACAGGAGACTATGTGTGGGTGGGTACCTGCATGTCCACAGGAGACTACGTGTGGGTGGGTACCTGCATGTCCACCGGAGACTATGTGTGGGTACCTGCATGTCTACAGGAGACTACGTGTGGGTGGGTACCTGCATGTCCACAGGAGACTATGTGTGGGTGGGTACCTGCATGTCTACAGGAGACTACGTGTGGGTGGGTACCTGCATGTCTACAGGAGACTACGTGTGGGTGGGTACCTGCATGTCCACAGGAGACTGTGTGTGGGTGGGTACCTGCATGTCCACAGGAGACTATGTGTGGGTGGGTACCTGCATGTCTACAGGAGACTATGTGTGGGTGGGTACCTGCATGTCTACAGGAGACTATGTGTGGGTGGGTACCTGCATGTCTACAGGAGACTATGTGTGGGTGGGTACCTGCATGTCCACAGGAGACTACGTGTGGGTGGGTACCTGCATGTCTACAGGAGACTACGTGTGGGTGGGTACCTGCATGTCTACAGGAGACTATGTGTGGGTGGGTACCTGCATGTCCACCAGAGACTACGTGTGGGTGGGTACCTGCATGTCTACAGGAGACTACGTGTGGATGGGTACCTGCATGTCCACAGGAGACTATGTGTGGGTGGGTACCTGCATGTCTACAGGAGACTATGTGTGGGTGGGTACCTGCATGTCCACAGGAGACTATGTGTGGGTGGGTACCTGCATGTCCACAGGAGACTATGTGTGGGTGGGTACCTGCATGTCCACAGGAGACTACGTGTGGGTGGGTACCTGCATGTCTACAGGAGACTACGTGTGGGTGGGTACCTGCATGTCCACAGGAGACTATGTGTGGGTGGGTACCTGCATGTCCACAGGAGACTATGTGTGGGTGGGTACCTGCATGTCCACAGGAGACTACGTGTGGGTGGGTACCTGCATGTCCACCGGAGACTATGTGTGGGTGGGTACCTGCATGTCTACAGGAGACTACGTGTGGGTGGGTACCTGCATGTCCACAGGAGACTATGTGTGGGTGGGTACCTGCATGTCTACAGGAGACTACGTGTGGGTGGGTACCTGCATGTCTACAGGAGACTACGTGTGGGTGGGTACCTGCATGTCCACAGGAGACTACGTGTGGGTGGGTACCTGCATGTCCACAGGAGACTATGTGTGGGTGGGTACCTGCATGTCCACAGGAGACTATGTGTGGGTGGGTACCTGCATGTCTACAGGAGACTATGTGTGGGTGGGTACCTGCATGTCTACAGGAGACTATGTGTGGGTGGGTACCTGCATGTCTACAGGAGACTATGTGTGGGTGGGTACCTGCATGTCCACAGGAGACTACGTGTGGGTGGGTACCTGCATGTCTACAGGAGATTACGTGTGGGTGGGTACCTGCATGTCCACAGGAGACTATGTGTGGGTGGGTACCTGCATGTCCACCAGAGGCTACGTGTGGGTGGGTACCTGCATGTCCACAGGAGACTACGTGTGGGTGGGTACCTGCATGTCCACAGGAGACTATGTGTGGGTGGGTACCTGCATGTCCACAGGAGACTATGTGTGGGTGGGTACCTGCATGTCCACAGGAGACTACGTGTGGGTGGGTACCTGCATGTCCACCATAGACTACGTGTGGGTGGGTACCTGCATGTCCACCAGAGACTACGTGTGGGTGGGTACCTGCATGTCCACAGGAGACTACGTGTGGGTGGGTACCTGCATGTCTACAGGAGACTACGTGTGGGTGGGTACCTGCATGTCTACAGGAGACTACGTGTGGGTGGGTACCTGCATGTCTACAGGAGACTATGTGTGGGTGGGTACCTGCATGTCCACAGGAGACTATGTGTGGGTGGGTACCTGCATGTCCACAGGAGACTACGTGTGGGTGGGTACCTGGATGTCCACAGGAGACTATGTGTGGGTGGGTACCTGCATGTCCACAGGAGACTACGTGTGGGTGGGTACCTGCATGTCCACAGGAGACTATGTGTGGGTGGGTACCTGCATGTCTACAGGAGACTATGTGTGGGTGGGTACCTGCATGTCTACAGGAGACTATGTGTGGGTGGGTACCTGCATGTCCACAGGAGACTACGTGTGGGTGGGTACCTGCATGTCTACAGGAGACTACGTGTGGGTGGGTACCTGCATGTCTACAGGAGACTATGTGTGGGTGGGTACCTGCATGTCCACCAGAGACTACGTGTGGGTGGGTACCTGCATGTCTACAGGAGACTACGTGTGGATGGGTACCTGCATGTCCACAGGAGACTATGTGTGGGTGGGTACCTGCATGTCTACAGGAGACTATGTGTGGGTGGGTACCTGCATGTCCACAGGAGACTATGTGTGGGTGGGTACCTGCATGTCCACAGGAGACTATGTGTGGGTGGGTACCTGCATGTCCACAGGAGACTACGTGTGGGTGGGTACCTGCATGTCTACAGGAGACTACGTGTGGGTGGGTACCTGCATGTCCACAGGAGACTATGTGTGGGTGGGTACCTGCATGTCCACAGGAGACTATGTGTGGGTGGGTACCTGCATGTCCACAGGAGACTACGTGTGGGTGGGTACCTGCATGTCCACCGGAGACTACTGTGTGGGTGGGTACCTGCATGTCTACAGGAGACTACGTGTGGGTGGGTACCTGCATGTCCACAGGAGACTATGTGTGGGTGGGTACCTGCATGTCTACAGGAGACTACGTGTGGGTGGGTACCTGCATGTCTACAGGAGACTACGTGTGGGTGGGTACCTGCATGTCCACAGGAGACTACGTGTGGGTGGGTACCTGCATGTCCACATGAGACTATGTGTGGGTGGGTACCTGCATGTCCACAGGAGACTATGTGTGGGTGGGTACCTGCATGTCTACAGGAGACTATGTGTGGGTGGGTACCTGCATGTCTACAGGAGACTATGTGTGGGTGGGTACCTGCATGTCTACAGGAGACTCTGTGTGGGTGGGTACCTGCATGTCCACAGGAGACTACGTGTGGGTGGGTACCTGCATGTCTACAGGAGACTATGTGTGGGTGGGTACCTGCATGTCTACAGGAGACTATGTGTGGGTGGGTACCTGCATGTCCACAGGAGACTACTGTGTGGGTGGGTACCTGCATGTCTACAGGAGACTACTGTGTGGGTGGGTACCTGCATGTCCTACAGGAGACTATGTGTGGGTGGGTACCTGCATGTCCACAGGAGACTATGTGTGGGTGGGTACCTGCATGTCCACAGGAGACTACGTGTGGGTGGGTACCTGCATGTCCACAGGAGACTATGTGTGGGTGGGTACCTGCATGTCTACCAGGAGACTATGTGTGGGTGGGTACCTGCATGTCTACAGGAGACTACGTGTGGGTGGGTACCTGCATGTCTACAGGAGACTATGTGTGGGTGGGTACCTGCATGTCCACCAGAGACTACGTGTGGGTGGGTACCTGCATGTCTACAGGAGACTATGTGTGGGTGGGTACCTGCATGTCCACAGGAGACTACTGTGTGGGTGGGTACCTGCATGTCCACAGGAGACTATGTGTGGGTGGGTACCTGCATGTCCACAGGAGACTACGTGTGGGTGGGTACCTGCATGTCCACCGGAGAGTACGTGTGGGTGGGTACCTGCATGTCCACCAGAGACTACGTGTGGGTGGGTACCTGCATGTCCACAGGAGACTACGTGTGGGTGGGTACCTGCATGTCTACAGGAGACTACGTGTGGGTGGGTACCTGCATGTCTACAGGAGACTACGTGTGGGTGGGTACCTGCATGTCAACAGGAGACTATGTGTGGGTGGGTACCT